TATTTTTTTATTTTCAAAATAAAGAAAGCCAAACGAATGCAATTAAATGTTATTTATCATCATTGAATATTAGATGAAAAGTAGAAGAGTTATTGTCCGCAGCGGATAATCTAACATTTAATAAAAACGACACCAAATTTTCATGGGATGAAATTCCACTCTTTAACGCTACCATGACCTTTAATTATTCTCCGAAAACGGCGTCACAACAACTTTGACACTCTGTACAATTAGTTGCTAAAACATTTTCTAATCGTACACATTCCTCTTTAATTAACATAAAACTAACAAATGTCCAATGCTTCGACAGAGTAATTTTCTTTATTTTCAGTAGTCAATAAATAGAGTAAATCAATGTCGCGTACAGTTGAAAGGCCTCCTCGCATTCCCTTCGTCGTTCCGGAACTTTCGAGAAAAGAAGAGACGTCCAAGGGGAGGTTTCTCTTGCTTCAACCGCCGCCGAGGCCCGCAATGTTTACATCGCGCCGATTATGTTGATCGGCTCACGAGCGACAATACCTTTTGCTCTTCGTATTAATACTCGCGCGCCTCGCGTACTCGACCTCATTCCATCAGCAGCAGCCGTGCGCGACGCGCTCGTCACTTCTGTCTCGTGTAATTGAAAGAAATGTATCTCGTCGGTCCTCGAGATATTCAATCGGCATCGCGTTGATTAACCGCACGGTCGAATCGCGAGTATCGGCATTAGAAGCGTGAGCGAGTGAAATCCGGAGGACTCTAGCAGCCGGGAAGCAGGACGCCGGCAGTAATACGTCACGTTTCCAGGTATGTGGAATCATTTATTATGCGGGAGGTCTCCGATAACGAGAGCAGACGTTTGACGAATTTTCCGGGAATAAGAAGTCGGAATTTCGCGCTCGGTATTCACAATCCGTCATCATCCGACTAGTAATCATGACTTTATGAATTTGCAATTACTCTCGTCAATCTCTGTCTGTCTATCTATTTATTGCGTTATTGTATACAAGAGATATCGACCCAGACAGAGACGGATAACGGTCCATGAACGCGGATCTCTAATTCATCATGTTCTCAATCAAACATTCTGAATATTTCCCAACTGTGTGAGTATACCGATCTTGTGTAGAATATTCAACGTCATACCGCTTCTTAGACTGCGACCACTTTTGTTTTCGGTCAGCGCTTCTTTCAAGTCTGTTTATTTTCGTTACGGGATCTAAATTTAAATGTCCATTCGTAAAAAAGTATTTTCGAAAGCACACAACTGTTGTCTCCGCTTCTTGTTGTCATTATTTTTCATCAGCTCTTTCAAGAGCTCTAAGTCCTATCTAGACTTTCAATGTCAGTGAAGAAAAAAACCGTAGCGAATATTCTCCACTCATCCCAACCAAACATTCTTTCTCTACCGCAGTTTACTAACCAGGAACGCTAAATTTTTGTTCCAGACGTTGCGGGAAGCAAGTCCGGCGGACGCGGATGCCGTACCGAAGGATCCGGTTCGGGCCAAGCAGAATTGGTCGGAAGGTAAAGTTTACAAGTTTCCTACACATCTGTGTTCAACCCTTTACGATCTTTGCCTTTGCAACTTGTTCCTCATCAGCTCTCTTAAAAGCTTCAAGTCTCATTTAAATTTTCAATGTTGGAACAAAAATATAATGATAAAAATTCCGTATCAAAATATTTCCGTGTTTTCGATTCATCCCGATTAAAGATATTCTCTCTCTTAGGTTATCAACCGGGAAAATCTTCATAATATTAATCATACACAATCTCAATTCTTTTTTTCTTTTGCGCATGTTAGCATGTTAATTCATATTACAAATGCATAACAATGTGCGAGACTGTGCTTGTTAAGTAAGCTATTATAATTATAGCACGGACATAAACCGCCTGAAAGTGGATGTAGCACGGACTGCCATCACATGCAGGTTTTACCGCCGAGACTTGAAAGTGGGTGTAACATCGTAGTTCCCCTCTCAAAATGGATGCAGATAGCGCTCTTTCCCAGTGTGGAATAGAGACCCTCTAATAAAGCCAACGACACATGGTGCTTGTTTTCGTGCTAGATTGCTTGCTGGATGAAAATACTGCGTTCTAATTGATGCATTTCCATCCATCTTCGGAAATGTACCAATCACAATGCAATATTTTCATCCAGCAAGCAATCCAGCACGGAAACAAGTACCGTATGCCGCTGGCTTTAGAGTCTGGCCAAGTGATAGCCATTTCTGATTGGTCCATTAATTCTTGTCAACTCCCGCTAATATTTAAATTACACTAATCTTACTATTGACATGAACATTATATTGTAACAATATAAATAAAAAATTAATGTTGCAAAAGAATCAGATATGTTTTTTATGTAAAGTTTATGCAAATGTTTCTAATAATATATAATATAAATGTAAGAAATTCCTTGTGTATGGTTAATGTTTGCTTAATCGTTTATAAATCGTTTATAAAGAGTAAAAGTAAGTTTTTCTTACAGAAAGTATTACTGGCTGTAATAAAGTAGCCAGTGATAAATTATTGCTGTTCACTAATTGCACTATAAATTTAATTATATTATGAATATATTAAAATTACTGAGCAACGTTTTACAGCTAGTAATACTTTTTTATATATGAAGAAAAGACAAAATAAAGAAAATAATATTTATTACATGCTATTAGCGTCATAAATATTATCACAATCATCTTTAAAAATATTATAATATATAATCACAACCAGAAAAAGTAATATTGCATCAGAGTAATAATAAAGACTAAATAATTATTGAAAAGCAGCATGCATAGCCATTGATTTGCCACCATATTGATTGCACACAGAATATTTTTTTTGTTATGAATCTTCAAACGAGACGTTGCAAATCGCCTTGTAATTTTATGAAATAAATCATGACAATTTAAAATATGGTCTGCATTTACTTTTGCAAACTCTGCATTTAAAAATATCATTAAATTAATATTTTGCATAACATTAAAATAAATATTACCCTGGTAGCAGACTGACGTCAAATGACGTACTAATGACGTCTTAATGACGTTAGCTAACGTCATTAAGACGTCATTTGACGTCAGTCTGCTACCTGGGTATAATGTCGAAATATATGTTCTAAACGTAAAAATACTTTAAATGTTTTTATATTAACAAAACATATAACGACTGTGTTGTATAGCATTTATGTTGTACTAACTTTGTAGATATAAAACATAATGGGACTGGCGATCGCACTGATTGTAGACGTTTATTGCACGTTGTACATATTTTATTTATAGACATAATAAGATAACCAGCTACATTGTACAGAATTTAATTCTACATTTGACAGCGGTGCTATGTTGTGTGCATTAAAGGGAGAAATATCAACAGTTTTAAGTTTACACGTATCTATCGTAGATTTTCCTCTTTTTTCTTGTGATAAATATTCAAGAAATCCGGTTAAATATTCTTGATTATCATTATCATAACTAGTATTATTAATATCATTCATCATATTGAGATTGCTATCAATATAAATCATTGGAAAATTGAAGCGGATTTGGTATAACATTTTTTTGTCGAATTTGAGAAAATAAATTTTCTACATAATCTTGTGTGAAGCACAAGACTCTCTTTTGACAGTATTCTTTTTACTACTCAGAGTAGCATTAACTGTTTGCAGCGCGCGCAAGTAAAAGATAGGTTTAAGAGAGAGATAGCGTGTGTATACCTTTCTCTCTCGCATGATTTTGACCATAGACATAGTATATTTAAACTGCGTGTTCGAGGAGTGGGGGTATAGCTCACGTAGAAAGGATATACTCTGTTTTTACCGTTCGTTTTCTCTCGCACAGTCCCGATGGAAGGGATATAGGGATATAGGTTGCTGTACAGTGCTGTACAGTAAGGGCCATCACACGTAGAAAAATTTTAACCGTAACCGTAAAGTTGTAAGAAAACTGACCAATCACAGTCGATTATTATAATGTCACAAGAGAAAGGATCGACTGTGATTGGTCAGTTTTCTTACAACCTTACGGTTACGGTTAAAATTTTTCTACGTGTGATGGCCTTAACCACCGCTCCTAACCCCTTCCATCGGGATTATGCGAGAGAGAACGAACAGTAAAAACAGAGTGCTTCCTTTTCTACGAGAGTTATACCCCCACTCTTGAAATTTGGGAGAACGCGCAGTCTAGGGCTGCGTTCCGATATTCACTGCCAGTATTGAAAATATATACTTTATGTCACATATATTATAGATTTTCAGTACTGGCAGTGAATATCGGAACGCAGCCTAGATATACTGTTCTTTATAGCTGCACTGCTGAACTAGTGCAATAAGTTAAAATGAGACAACCATATTTTTTCTCATTCTAACTTATTGCACTAGTTCAGCAGTGCAGCTATAAAGAACAGACCAACTATGTCTATGATTTTGACAATATCGCTCAAATGTCCAAACTCTTATTAGATGGTCTCTAGTGTGGAAAGTCGGTGTCGCCGAAAACACCGTGTTGGCCGCTTTCAGGTTCCTCTCTGTTCCACAGGCTTCTATAGTATAACTAGACTGCTAACTCCCTTATATACAGTAGCACAAAATTGACCCCAAAAGTATGTATTACATAAGGGAATCAAATATTGCGTATGCGTGATTGGAGTCCACAAGGAGAAGGGGTATATAAGCAATCTGGTCCATCCAATTAGAAGAAATGTGTTTTGATTCAACCAATCAGACGTGAATGTCGGACACCAGGACGGTACATACTTTTCGGGGTCATGTATTGAGTCGGAGTTAGCAGTCTAGTTATACTATAGAAGTCTGTGCTCTGTTCCCATTGTGAAAAGAGTTCCACCATCTCCCATCACGCGGCGTTGCGTTGGTAGATCGTCATCAATTGAGCAAAGGGAAATGATAAAGTGAGGAAGGGAGCAAGAGAGACGAGTGGATGGCCGAAGTGCCGAGGGAGGAGTGAAGAGGGATTGAGGAGTAAAGGAGGAGAAGGGATGGGAGAGGTGAGAGAGAGGGAGGGAGGGAGCGAGAGAAAGAGTGAGAGGGAGAGAAACAGTGAGCGTTTCGAAAGCACTTGTCAACGAGACGTTCCGTCGGGATAATGCCACGGTGATCCGTCATTTTTCGTCTCACGATTGTGTCCTGTCGACCGCAACCAACCGCAACTTTGCCTATCGCGAAAACGATAACGCGGTCCTTTAAACACGATCACTGGCCGCTCGTTATCACGTTACTTCTGTTTCTTATCGCTACACGCGGCGTTACATTACGCTCGCGGTAGCCAGTAACGTATGTATCACACAACGTCGTCGGGAATCCGCGAATCTCAATATCCGTCCTGCCTGATTCCGTCCGATGTGGTGATCGACTTGAAATCTTGGTATTTATGAGATGTCACGGAGTGACGCGCTCAAAGTGCGCGACAGACAGTAAATGCTCCATGAATGGACGTCGTTCTTGAGACAAAGCGGTTATTCACCTCGACAATCGAGCAGAAGTCACCTGTTGTTTTGTTGCTTCTTCGTTTAGCATAGGTTCGAATATGATTTATACCGTTCATTGGTCTTAAGTGCTGTTTAGTATACACATTTATGTACATGCATAATATACTGTTACACTGTTGAGGGATTGACTGCAATGATGCATCCAATTTGTACAGACATGATAATTTACAAATTTTAATGCAATATAGTGAAAGTAATCTTTTGTCCGGTTCTAGATGTCACACTGCAGTAAAAATACCTGTGATCAGAAGACTGCGGTGATTGATCATGAGAGGCAGTTTCAGGAGGACTTAGAAAGAGCTCAAGCATTGAGTTTAGAGAGCTTGGCTCTAGAGAAATTTAGACTGCAAAAGTTGCAGTCCAATGTGCAGCAATTGTGCTCTAGACAAAACAATGTGTGCAATAGAAATAGTACAGTATCCGAGACAGATGGATGTTCACAAGGAGAAAGGTAAGTGTTTTGATATATCATATTTAACAAAATGATAATTCATCTTAATTTATGAATCAGTAAATATTAATCTAATAATATTTACTGATCTATGACATTTATATTTTGATAAGAAATAGATAAATCTTGCAAAATCAATTAAGTAAGATCTCACCATGTGATTATAGATCCCAATGCAGAAGTCGACCAAGACCTGGATTTTTCAACACAAATCAAAAGAATTCTGTAATATTGGCCCCACCACCTCCGATACCATGTAGAAGAAATTCAACCACCACTGCAGCCAGTCAGGATTCTTCTACTGATTTGATCAACTTTACAAGTCCTGTGAAACAGGATAATCTAGCTGAATATTGCCCGACACCACCTCCACCACCACAGTAATATATTTTTACTGTTATATTTAGTTGGCAAAATAATGTTCCATGAAGCTAGCTTATATATCAATATATTCTTTTTGATAATTGTTCCTCTTTAATATATACATGTATAAAATCTTAATCTTTAATATCAAGTATATTATGAACTTGTTCTAGAAAAGCACCGATAGAACCTAAATGGGATACTCATCCATCTATATTAAAGAGACAATCAAGAGTATCACGAAGTAATAGCTCAGTTGGTGCATATCATTCCAGAGATTTCAGATATCATTCTCTTTCTCCAGGCCCACGGTCTTCTACGGCACCATGTACACCAGGAACACCAGGAATTAGTCCTATCATGTCAAGAGCTAGCAGTGTTAGCAACAATGTACCTGATATTGCACCGCAGGTAGCAGAGATGTCTGTTAAATCCAAAATCTTTTATTCTAAGAGCGAACATTCCCAATCCTGACCTTTTTTTTTCTTTTTGTTATTTGGCCATAGTAAAATTAATGTAACTTTAAAATAGAATGTAGAGCAGTTGGTTAAAATGCAGTTTTTCTTGCAGCCTGCATGGAAATCTATTACACTTAAGCATTTTTTCTTCAGACAGGTATTATTATATGGAACATGCGCCCATGCTTTTCTTTTTGATGGTTTTAGAAAGAATTTTTAGATATTAGTTGTAATATCACAATATAGTCACAATATTACCGAAAATGGCCATAAGTAGCGTGTGTTTTTTTATATCATTAATTTATTTTAATTATTATAAATGTTATTTTAATTTTTTTTAATAAACTCTATATATATATATATAATATCATCTATATATAAAATAATATCAAATAGATTCATGTTTTATATATTTTCTAATAAATGCACAAAGGTATCTTCATATTTTACATATGCTGTTATTGCTAATTCTCCAAGCGAGGAATGTTCATCAATGCATGACGAATGAAACGAAAGAATGCCATCTTGAAGATTTCATACTTCTTTTGCAGATTCCTCCATTGCCTATGAATTATAGACCAACTGTTGCGCCTGCCATGTGTGCACCATCAATATCAGCATTTTGTATGGACGACGAACAGTTGAACGTGTTAAAAGTAATAGAGAAAAAGCCAAATAGCAATCTTATAGATTTGAGTAGTTTTGAACAAACGGAAGACAAGACGAATGTACGAGTTAGCGTGTTAGAAGCGTTTGATCCATTACTTATAAAGACTGACAATAGAAACGATTCCACACAAAACCATAAAGACGGTGAGTTATCAAATGTCGTAACTTTTTCAAATGTCGTAATAATTTATTAATATTGCATACGAAATGATAAAATCAAAATATAGATATGATTCAGCTGAAATATTATGTATGCGAAATATATATATATATAAATATTGTTGCTCCATTGTTATCACAAATGAATTTTTACAGACTCGCAATCGCAAGTTAGTGGCACTGTATACGATCCGTTCGATCCATTTGATTATATGTACAGCACAAACGAAAGCGCCAATTCGGATCCAGTTTACGTCGCTGTGGAGAAATCTGCAAAATCGCCGGCTATTTCACCAGCTGCGCCTCCACCCTTACCTCCTCGGAATTCATCTGCATGGAATACCATAGAGAGACGAAAAACTTCTTTGGATCGTCGAGTAAATTTCACAAAAGTTTATTTCTCATCTTTTTTTGCACAAAATCCTTCACGTACCAATATTATTTCCAGCAAAAGCGTCAAACGCGTTTATACGAGAACGTAACGGTCATAAAAACCAGGTCATCTCTTCATGATTGTGACTTGAAGGCGTTCCACAGTATGATCAAATTTGTACGAGGTTAGTGGAAAATAATATTTTGTCCCACGCCACACATTTTAACCGTATTCTTCATTTTTCACAATATAAATTCATTTAAGGCGAGTTTCCCTTTAATAATCCCACTACAAATATCGGCTACGTCGTGAGTCCAACGATGGAGAACTTATACCCAGATGGTACAAGTATAAAATTGGTAGTTCATCCACAATTGACCAGTAGCACTAAAGATCCAGTACCGTCTATTTCTTTTACCTGTAATGGTGAGTTAACAGAATTTATTTGAAGACTGCACGAAATTATTTCAATCTGTCATTTTCACTATTTCATTTCAGTGAATTGTAGCGTTGAACATGTTATTCTGAACGTCGCCTGTTCTTTAGAGGATGAGGATACAGTAAATGTAGAGAAATATTGTTTAAGAGTATGGGGACTAGCTGAGTACCTCGCACCTAATACAACTTTAGCACAATATGAGTATATACATCAGTGTATTAAATTAGAAAAGGATATCGAATTAGCTATAATGAGCAGATCACAAATTAAACAATCTATTGCTCGATCGGTCAGTATCATGTACATATATATGTAAGCATTTCATTATCTCAATCTTTACACATTCCTTTTCTTCTATTTCAGTTGCAGGATGACAATCGCGACCACTGTCTAAAGTTGGAAGATATTCTACCAAACGAGCCTTCACAACCTATTTCATATGATACATTACTTATTTTACTAGGTATATCTCCACACAGACACACGTGTATGTCAAAAAATGACATACTTTTATTGTATTTACATTGTTATGTGTATATTCTTACATTTATAGAAACAGTGGAGAAAGAAATGGAACGCGTAGAGACCGCAGCGATACAATTGGCCACCACAAACCAAGGTTCTAGCTTACTACCTCAACTTCAACCACGCGGCGTAGTGCAAGCGGTAAAAGCGGTGTGTGCCTTAATGGGAAGCATCGAGACATTCGAGATCACAGAGGCCGTTGACAATTTCGTGAATGCTTGCTGCCAGTTCCTGCCACAAGCTCACACGGCCAATATAGAATGCAAGAAACCAGAAATCTTGCACGAGGACGGTGATTACGCTGTGGTCACCTTAAGAAAGAAATTTCCCGACGTAATCGCCTCGCATTGTCATAAAATCCGTGACGCTATTCAAGAACTCGTTGAAACTTACTGTCATGCGTTCAGAGTCGACTTTCAGTTGAACAGCAAAGGAGAATTCCCGACAAGTAAGGAGAAACCAACTCTTTCACTTATGTGTATGTGTGCGCTTGCAAAATATAAAATTGACTTTTTCATGTTTTTGTCGGCAGATACGCTGGTTTCATCAGAGGTGATCGATACTATTTTGGTGCGTGTCGGAGCACTGCATAGACTACCGAATTCGTGGAAACACGACGATTATATAGTGGCAGCTCAAATATTTCATGGAACTAGGCCGGTAGGGAATCCCGTTTTATCGGAACCAATGACGGTCAGCTCAAATTTTTACCAGAGAATTTTATTTAATACATGGTAAGCATTAGGAAGCATTTATGACGTTCTAGTCAAAATTATTTGATTTATATAGTCTAACTAAAACTTCAATTCATACAAGGTTGGAATTTCGCGGAATAAGCGTATGTCAAGTGCCGAGAGAAGCCAGACTCGTGCTAGTTCTTTACGGCCGTACTTTGCAACCTGCTGAACACGAGTCCAATTCGTCCGCGGAGAATTCAATGCAGAAAGAGGAACTTGGATGGGGTGCTATACAATTCTTCGATTATGATGGGTAAGTAACACGAATAATATTCCACATCTCTGGTTTGTTCTTCATTCGACTTTTTATCTTTGACGAAATATCACATTGTCTCACCTAGTATGTTTCCTCGAGCCATATACGCACTTTTAAATATTTTTACTTTACTTGTAGCGTTATGAGCCAAGGGAGCTTTTTTCTGTCCCTCTGGCCAGCTATTGCAGACAAGAGATTAGGTCCAGCGCCAGCACCCGGAATTCACCCGCATGGCGATACTCACCCCATCATAGGATTAGAGCTACCCGATTACGGAGGAAAGGTATTGTTTCCTACCGAGTTGAGGGATCATGACGTGGAATCGCTCGACTTCAATTCGTTAGATCAAAATACGCAAGAACTATTGATCGACATCACGCAGCAAGACACGTTTTCGAGGTACGCGATTTTCTAGAAACGCGACAGTAACAAGTCAAATAACGTTCAAGCTTTCTCTGATGTGTTACGAGGGTTCTTCTTGTTTCTCAGACCGCCTATCGACGAACGGGAGATCCTTTGGGAGAAAAGGCATTATCTACATGATAGACCGGAAGCTCTACCTAAGGTATTATTAGCTGCGCATAGTTGGGACTGGGCATGCTTACCAGATTTACACGCGTCGCTCAGAGTTTGGAGTCCGTTGCCTCCAGTGCAGGCCTTGCAGTTACTTTTGCCGTGGTACGTTTTTGTGCAAGCTAGTCCAGTGTAATATTTTTTGAGAAAGTGATTAGAGTACCGCGTTATCTTCTTTTTTCTTTTCTTTGTAGCTTTCCAGACATGAAAGTCAGGGAAATGGCAGTTGAGTGGATTCGCGAGCTAAGCAACGATGAATTAGTCGATTATTTACCGCAATTACTTCAAGCGATGAAACATGAGACATACGAAGCTTCACCTCTGACACGATTTTTATTGGAGCGTGCCTTACTTTCACCACGAGTGGCTCATCACGTTTACTGGTTATTGACTCAAGCGCTACCGGGACAGAGTCCCCAGGTACAGGTTGGGGGATCAGCATTGGTAACATTATTAATCGCTTATACTGCTATTTTTAATGCTTGAATCGTAACAAAATAGCAATAAATTAGATCGCACATTAAAAAAACTTCTCTTTTCTTATGATTCATTTTCATTCATTCATATAATCTAAGCAATAGTAGTTTCATGCGACTTTCATTAACACGAAAACACTATCCAGTATTAGATATGTTGCAGCGAAGATCTTTTGTTCTTCAGAATTCTGCTGAGATTGCCGCGGAAGATGACAAGGCTATCAGTTACGCTCGTTATCACCGGAGACTGCAATTAATGTTGAGAGCATTGTTGGCAGTTATTGGAGATGCGCTGAGAAATAGTTTCCTTACTCAACAATTACTAGTTAAAGTATGTTTCAATTTTATATTTTATATACACATATTTGAAGGAGCGTATATATACTACAAATCACAATTTGCATACTTTGTGTAGAATCTTCATGAGGTAGCTGAAAATATTAAAGTCACAAAGGAATCGTTACGCATAGAAACACTTAAAAGCGGCCTACAAAACATACACTGCCAGTTAATGGAAGATGATGGCACGTGTTTGCCGTTGTCTCCTAGTAAATTAGCGTTCGGCATAAACGTATCTACATGTGCCTACTTCCCATCGTTCACTCTCCCATTGAAAATTAACTTCATCGGTTGTGACAGTGTAATAAGTCCCGCAATTTTCAAGGTATGTTTCTCGCAAAGGCATTCTATCTGTAGTCGCAGTGTCACGCATTGAGTGGTTATTCACATCGTTACTTCTCTCTTACAGGTTGGTGACGATTTACAGCAGGATATGTTGACTCTCCAAATGGTGCGTATTATGGACAAGTTGTGGTTGAAGGAAGGACTCGATCTGAAAATGGTTACTTTCACTTGTGTACCGACCGGCCACAAACGTGGAATGATAGAAATGGTCACAAATGCGGAAACATTGCGAAAAATTCAAGTTGAATTTGGTTTAACCGGGTCGTTTAAAGATCGACCGATCGCAGAGTGGTTGGCGAAACACAATCCCTCAGAATTAGAGTACGAAAGAGCGGTAGCAAATTTCACGGCATCTTGCGCCGGTTATAGCGTCGCCACTTATATCTTAGGGATATGCGATAGGCACAACGATAACATAATGTTGAAAACATCTGGTCATTTATTTCATATTGACTTCGGAAAGTTCCTTGGCGATGCGCAAATGTTTGGAAACTTCAAAAGGTGAGCATAATCTTGCATTTTGATTTTAATTGAAATAATGTGAATTTATATGTATAATATTATTCATTGTTTTCAATAACAGAGACAGGACACCGTTTGTGTTAACGTCAGATATGGCATATGTTATAAATGGGGGCGACAAACCTTCTGCGAAGTTTCATCATTTTGTAGATTTGTGCTGCCAAGCTTTCAATGTAGTTCGAAAACATGGAAATCTTATTCTTCATCTTTTTGGACTGGTACGTTATAATTCTTCACATTTCATGGTAATGCTTGTGAAAAATCTGTCTTTACTACGACTTTTCAATTTCCTAATATAAAATGGGATATTAAATATAAATAATGTAATCACTATATATATCGTAAATTTTCTTTGTCTTTAGTGAACTTTACTTCAAAATCTTAAACCTCATACATTAAAAATCTACGAAAAATTATATTTTATCATAAAAATGAAGATACTTGAATTATATAATTATATACACAAATATATAAATTATATAATTACAGTCTATAAAAGTCTATGAAATTAAATTAAATTAATGAATCGTTATTTAGTAAAATATAGATTTTCAACATAATTAGAAAAATATTATAGACTAATTATTTCACGTAAACTTGCAAACATTATGTTGCATATTAGAATGCGTTTGCAATGAGAGATTCATGAGTTATATACTCTACTGCTCTGTTATAAAAACAACAAAACCGCAAGAACCGGAAGAACTTATCCATATGCTTTATCAGGGGACCGCTATCGCCCTAAACTATATACGATGTAGTTAATTAGCGTTTATCATCCGTGCTCTTGTAATATCGTGTATTGTAGCAGTCAGTTTGCGTCAATCGTTTTAAGAGTGAGGTGCCGTGGAGAGCGAATAAAAGTCAGAAAACCGTTGTCAAGTTAAAATGCTACCAATAGTTTCCACAGTGCGTTGCCGTTAAAGAGAATAGGGATACATTTCCATCTTCCCAATAACATCCCAAAATAGATCGCAATGGATGAACTAATATCTCAGAAGAATCTCCTCAGTGATCTCCATAAACAAGATCTCATAGCACGAAAACTTCACGATATCGAAATAAAAGATCATTTGAATCAAGCGAGAATGAACGAATATACGACTTCGCAGATGACTTCGTCTGGCATCCCTGGAGTGACCATGGACGCAGTCAGTTACGTACAGAAAGCACTACTCCCGGGACAAACGAATCCCGAAGCAGCGGCAACTTTCGCTCGAATGATAGAGAGCTCGTTGAAGAATTGGTTCACACAGTTCAACTTCTTCCTGCATAATCTGGCGCAGCTCAGATTCTCCGGAGATCACAGCGATGGAGAACTCCTGTCCTTCATCCCGCGCACATATTCGTGAGTTTTTCTTTCTATTTCAAATTGAAAGGGCGAATCGTATCAACGAGAGATGAAACGAGAATTCAAATTATCAAAATTTCACTCGGCAAACATTTTTATTTGCTTTAAATTACATCGCGATGCCCTTCAAGCGCATACTTTTCAAATCATAAATATGTAAATACATAAACATACACACACGTGTAATCTTAAGCGATTAACAACGTTTACAACCATTGTAGAATGCAACAAGAAGGTCAATTAACAAGCGTCCAGGTTCACGGCTACCAAAAACGCTACGATCCGGAAAAATATTATATGTATATTTTGCGGATACAACGGAAAGGTCAAGCAGACCCAACGTATTTGTTTCGATCGTACAAAGAATTCTGTGAATTCTATCAAAAATTGTGCATACACTTTCCACTTGCCAAGGTGGCTAGGTAAGACCCACGTATACACACCAATCATGTCGTTTTTTCGTGCAATGCTTAATGCAAATGTTAAATATATAGATTATAATATATCTATTCTAAGATAAGGAATTCATTATTAATATTTTTTCATGTCGATTTAAGCATTACATATATATATATATATATATATATATATATATATACAAATAATTAGCATGAATAATGGGTAGAAAAATGCGAATTGATATACATATTTTCGAAATACTTTCACGTGTACCATTTCATGACATTTTTATCATTTTTTAAATCACTAATTCAGTTTCTTGACAAGTACTATCTTTCATATTTGAAACATGATTTTGATCTTCATTTGTTTCATTCGTTTCTTCTTCGTATATGGACGATTGTTTTACCATCTTTAATTCTTTGATAGATGCAACAAGTTCCTCATTTTGAGCTACGTATTCATCATGTTCCAAATCAGTATTTAATGATTGTGATTGACTTGTAAGGTCTTCTTTATTATTGGCATTTGTTGAGTCATTTGCAATCGAAGAAGACACAGTTGACAGTGAATATTCGTTTTTCCTCATTGCCAATGTATTAGATTCAGAATACGAAACTCTTCTGTATATGCCTGGCATTGTTGAAATTTTGTATGCCCCTTTTTTATTTATTGACAAACGTGCTCGGAACCATTTTAGACCCATTTTTATGTGTATAATATCAAACCTTTAAAAAGAAATTCATTTCTCCTGAAATTGTCTTTAATTCTTAAGTGGTCTGTAAATAAGACACAATTTCTCATATTTTTAATGTAAGAACTCATTGGTCTGATACTACTTACTTTTATAAAAAAATTTTTTTGATAAATTCAGTTATAACCTGGTGGATCCTTTGGAAATATTTATCTAGTTATTGGATATAATATCTATATTTAAAATATTAAGATATTAATTATAAGATATTAACATCTTATCTTATTTTATTTGTCTGCAACAATTAATTTTTCACATGAGATACGTTAAGGTAGCACGCACAATAACAATATTATTTTTATTCTATAGTTGATATTGATAAACAATTATTTTACTTACGATGCAGAAATGTCAAGCTATTATTGCCTGTGTGGTCATTTCAGAAAACACAATAATAAATTCACAGGGAACCTAAAATACAATCAAAATATTATTATTATTACGTTTAAAATTGAAAATCAGTTCGATATTTGCACATTATCACGAGCGAGAATTCCGCGATATATTGAGAGAAAAGCACAACGAAGAAGAACGTCGTGTCACGAAGAACGCGGAATATCTTAAACACAAAAAGCCTCGTCGCGCATAAAGTCGCACCTTTTGATACGCGTTATCTTCAGATTGTCTGATATTAGTCAGACATATCTCATATGCTTATAGCAGTCTGTTAGTCATGCTATGATTAATTATAGCACGATACTCGTTGAATGCAAATATCATGAAGAATAATTTAATTAAGATGATTCTTCTTTGTTCTGTTTAAAACACTATATAAATTTATGTGTAATATACAGAAACTTCACAATGCCACTATTGCTTCATACAACTGCTTCAACTCTAATACATTATATTTATTTACGAAAAGAGGTATTCATCACACACGTTGTCCCCTCGATCACGAGACGCTAATACAATTGGATGTTTACAAATAGGAAAATACGTCATTCATCACGATTTTAATAACAGGGTCTACTCATCCCGTTTATTTCGCAGCTTACCGAGCGGAATGAGCGTCGGACGCTCCAACATTAAGCAAGTGGCTGATAAACGACGGGCAGATATAGAGAAGTTTCTTGTAAGTCTGTTCAAAATGGCACCAGAAATTTCTCAAAGCGATCTGGTGTATACTTTCTTTCATCCGTTGCTGCGAGATCAACAGAACGCTGATATTCGCTTGCGTAAAGTCAAAGGTAAAGCCTTCATACGTGTTGAAACTTGCAAAAGATGTGCTATATACATTACACTTTTAATTTTAAATTCGAAAATCTTAAATTTTTTGTATTTATGTATCGAGCAATTTCGTTTTTCATGTATTAGTTGGAAACTGGTGGGCAGAGAAGAGGGTCAGAGACAATGTGCAAAATGGCCAGATCAAATTATCTCTTCACTATGCACGTGGCACCTTGTCTGTCATGGTTTATCATGCTCGAGGACTCCCTAAAGTAGCTAACGCTCAAGAACCAAATACATATGTGAAGGTATACCTTAAGCCCGATCCCACGAAAGCGACGAAGCGGAAAACAAAGGTGATAAAGAAGAACTGTCATCCGTCATTTATGGAAATGGTAAATAAATAATGTCAATTTTAATACGCTCTGACTGCTCAAAATATCGATCAGTGCAAGTTTAATAAGAAAACGTTGTAATTGGTTAATTATTTACCTTTTTTTTTCATCGCACCAGTTGGAGTACAGAATGCCGCTAGAAGTGATAAAAGAAAGAACGCTTGAAGCAACGATATGGAATCATGATACCTTGCAGGAAAACGAATTTCTTGGTGGCATAAGTTTACCACTCGGACGTCTCGACTTGACAAACGAAACCATCGAATGGTTTCCGTTGGGTAGCGTACGATGAAACGAGTATAAAGACTGCCTTGAAATTGAGTCTCTTAATGCTCATAGAGATCTAGAAACTATCACATCAGAAGACATAACTTTAGCGCACAATATTAAAGCTTCTTCATCACATTATGCACAAACGAGTGCAATTATCACCGCGCTTATTCGCGATATAAAAATAATCTTTATTTATATTACTTCACATCTAGCAGAGTCTTGCTTCCTTAACGAAGTAATTTCGCAATTTATAGAATGACATGGTAGATGTTAAGAACTATGTGATATCCAGGAGATAATTATATGCAGAGGAAAAGTCAGCTTCTACAAAAGTTGCTAAGGAATATAAAGTATACATAATAATTATTTAAAGAAACATATAAGTGCACTCGTTTGCACATCTTGCGCAAAATTATTCTGATGAAGTCAGGAGCGTATTAAATGATCATGATTGTGCAAAACATCGTTTATGGGCTTCCATGGTGATTTGTTATGACAGAAATCGAATGATAATACATGGTGTAAATAGTTGTCCTTTATTATACTCTTACTTGATAAATAAAAGTATAATGAAGATGCATTTTCCTGAATCTTCCGGTGCAATTGTGACTTTGAATGTTTTGCATATCATCATTCCGACATCTGTCTCCGATAACTGATTACTGTACAAACTCGTGAGTAGTGGTTTGCAATCGTGATCATTTGATGCGATTGCTTTATAGGGAAAAGAGTGTGCAAACGAGTGTGCAATGTACAACATGGCCTGTCGCAAAAGTAATGGGGCTTTCTTGTTGTGATAACAATGGGTGTTAAAAATGTAATTCTTAAATCTTAGTATCTTGTAGACATGAGACTAGATGTGATACGATTTATTCAGTATGTCTCACGTACTCGTAAATTAAACAAAAGTATGTTTCATGATTGCGTCGCAAAAGTGGAGCACAGAGATATCAAGCGAAAGTCAACTTTTGTTTCACTAAAGTATGGATAGGTATGTGCAAAAGTATGAAACTTATCAGACTCTAAACTTTATGTCGAATACAAACTTTTTGGTGATATAAAAATTGTTTGAGAATCTAATTAAACTCATAAAGTTCTTCTGTTTTGCTTTGATAACGCAATCGACAAACTCTTGTCATATTGGCAAGATTTCAAGGTTCAAATCAGCCTGCGGATTTCGAGTACGATGTTGGCACATCACTTTGAAAAGCCTAATTGCTTTGGTCTAGTCTAATTGCTTTGGTGGCAGATCGCGGTATGTTGAAATATGCAAGACGAAAATAGATCAAGAAAAAAAAACAATCATACTGTTGCAGGAATTTAGAATTATACTGCGTTTATGTATATTTCTCTAATTATATTTTTTGGCAGAGAACGTCTGAACAAATGAAAAATTCATCATGTGAATCGAATGAATTTCTGCACTGGAAAGTTACTCTTTTAAAGGAATTTTATACACTTATTTATTTATATCACTTTTTACCGACTATCGATGACCAATTGTAAATATATTAATGTATTTTATATGACATGCAATCGCAGTAACGAAATGATCATCATGGAACGATCATGAATCAGTCATCAAGTTCTAAATTCCCTTTAGATGACATTTTACAGTCCGGGGGAAAGTTCGCAGAGATTCCTATCAAATCTAGTTAAATGAAAATCGAATTATGTGTGTATGTGTGACATACACATACAGCAAAATCATGTTTTATGGTATTATTTTAATGATAGAAGACATCACATAATTTACATAATCGTCTGATATAATGGCCTCTCATTTATAGCGAGTGGACGTACTATTAACGTTATTAAAGTTATGTGTATATATGCTATTAAATTTATGTAATAAATTATCTTTTTCGTTTTGTTTCTATACATATGTTGCTCGATTTGATGAACAACCGAATTTGCAAATATCCAAAACACAATTCTCAGAGTAAATCTTGTTTGAGTCATTTTAAGACAAGAGCGACAAAACGAAACTCGATTCTTGTCGATCAAACGAGCAACATTTGGTTCAAAACCGCTCAGTACTGCTTCGTCGTTTTAGAATAGCCACGATCGGTAAAGCAACTTATCATTCAACGCGTTCCAACTGAAAAAGATTAATATCTTGTTCGTTCGGGAGATTCATTTTTGATCTATAAAAACGAATACGAAATTATCGATGAGTTGTCAAAGATCATCGTCCTGGATAAATTTTTATAACCATCAAACAAACCCCAAAATATGTTTGACGAAAGATAATATCTACCATTTTTAATTGGAAAGGAATTATTAAACAATGAAAAATTTCATATATGCTAAATCTTTTGTAAGCCTTTTTCTATTTTTATTTTATCGCGCGATTTATTTGATATATCGATTGTATCGTTATATCGAAACTTGCGACCACACTCAATGTGCCAACTTCAACACGGTCTTTTTCGGAACAATGGCGGCGCGGCGGTGAGTGTTTGAAAGATCGTCCCGTATTTTTCGCAATTTTAGCTTGTTTATAATAAGTCCCGAACATAAATTATCATCACCGGGAGTGCCGGAAGTGTTGTGCGTTTGTATAGTAAGATATAGCAGGTTAAATGTCTACCGAAAACATGTATCTCGCGGAACGAATGCCGTCGAATCTTCGGGAGTGTCGAACAAGGTATCGCGCGACCGTTACGGTAGTCGGGGATCTAAATCGCTCCGTTATTGCTTTTGAATGTTCAAATGAAATCAAGTCGTGCGCGAAATATTGTGCGAAAGGGCAGATATGTGATGTATTTATTGTGACGAAATATCGCGAAGAAATCGCAATATTTCGTGCAACAAGTCGTCGAAAATGTCCGGTCCGATAAGCCGCATTCTGCTCTTCACGCATCAAGGAAAATTCGGTAAGTGCCAATTAAAAATGATTAAACAGATGTCGATTGATATGAGATATCCGGTAAATTTATCGTAAACCGTGTATCGTAGTTATTTTTGCCCACAGAATCATATATTGTGACGTTATATATATTCTTACGCTATATTGACAAACGAAATGTATAGTTTTAATAACTGACAAAAAATTTATTTTGTAAAAACTCTGGCTAGCAACTCATTCGTACATCGCTAAAAAAAATTATTACCATAAACCTGTATAATTGCAAGATAAGTTTCTTACTTATGGAAAAAGGAAACAGTCGGTAACGGTAGTACTCTAACTTTCTCTAAGCAGCTAAAAGATTATTGAAGAGATCGTTATTATCGACAGGTTATAATGTGTAAGATGATGAATTATAAAAATTTAGATAGATAAATGAATATAAAATGTAAGTTAGAACGCTGTATATTAGAATTTAGTCCGCTTACAATTTGAATGTGTTTTTTTCTATAAAATATAAATACTTGAACGCAGATCTATATAATACAAATATTTTATGTAGAAGTATAATCCTACTATATAGACTTGTATTGCTCGTAGTAGCACTTTTTCTTTCATAGGTTTGTTACTTAATATTTTTTATCAGTTTTTTTACATTTTCTAACCCTCTGCCACATTTTTAGAAATGTATTAATAAGTAACATATTGTTTTGCTTCAGGCTATTTGTTGGCTTATTAGATTTTTATATTTTTTTATATGTTTATTTTAATTCTATAACAAGAAGAAGTCTTATTAAACGACTATTTGATTAAATTATTCCTTGAACGTTTCATAAATGATTTCCAAAAATATCAATATCAATCAGACGATTAAATTTGGAACGGGTACTTCTTAATTTTTGTAACATGTTTATAAAAATATTCTAAATGTTTGTAATAGTTTTGTGAAATTTACTTTACAATAATCGCAACGCTCAGCAACACGATCGTGTGTCGGCCATTTGTGTGTAGCCTTCGTGTCAAATAAATGCAGGTAATTCAGCTCAAGAGTGGTCGAACCGGTTGCTATTTATCTTTTGGTCGAAATGTTTTTTGCTCGTCACAGGAATTTCAGTCAAAAAACAAACATTAGGGGTTTTGTATCTACATATCTGCAAGGCGGGGTTTCGAAATGCCCAATAAGCGACAGGACGACATAATGAGATGAAATGGAGGAAACTTTATTAAAAACTATACGATGGTTTTGATCAATTATTCATTTCGTCGTCATGCTGACTCATAAAAGCAATAGAAAAGCACTTTCTGTTTTGCTCTTTCGCGAAAAAAGCATACTTTTGCGATTCTCGCGAGTATATATAAAATAATATGCGGTACCAGCCAACCAAATGCAATGTCCCAGATAACACGAAGGCAACGTTAATCATATCGATGAAAGGATAAAGAAAGCTTAGAACGACTTCGTTCTCCATTTAACATTCAGAAAATACGCAGGGAACGAGACAAAGGCGTTCAAGAATCGTGCAACAATGGGAGTGTCCAAAACCTTTTTTCTCTGCTTTATCGTTTCATATTATACAAGGTTTAGGTAGTATGCTTAGATAACACAACCACAAATTTATGTATTGAAGGCTCAAAAGTAATTGATGACAGTATTCGCTATAGTGAAGAGTTGTTACAAGTGATGTTACATCGTAACATCGATGTACACTTTCTAAACACAAAATAAAAAGTAAGAAAAATGGAGATGAGAGATATTACAGAGAGCTTAATTAACACGATTAATATTATTAATAATAGCACATTAACATCAAGAGCAGTATCGACGATAACACAAGTTGCGAATCGAGCAATAATCTCTCAATTGCCGTGTTCGAAAATCGATCACATTGGCGATGTTTCGTTTTCCCTTCGCGTCGCAAACAAAAGAAAATCTTGTAAGTATAATGCACACGTCGCGGACATGCAAACACGCATGCCGATAATAAAATATTATCATCGAGGAAAAAGAATTCATCAACGCTCCGCGGATTCCGCGCAATGACAACGATAAATTAGCCGAATCACGCGTAGCGTAATGCTACACTAGCCTAAACCGAGTAACTTTCTTACAGGAGCCCCCTGTAACACACGGAACTTGGCGGGAACGAGATAGAGTCGCTATTTAAAACGCCGTCGTAAATATTATGCAATCGCAATTAATACCTCTCGCGCGTGTTTGCCGAGATATCGTACACGCTACGTCGTCGCCGACTCTGTGACATATATGACACTGTGTATAAGCGCGCGTTTAATCGCACACGCGGGTAGGATGAAATTTACCTTGATTCGCGGCTCCTCTCACACGTCGATCGCCGCGCGATTCCGCTTTAATTCAGCCGTGCGCACTTGAAACCTTGTTCGCGATAATCCGACAGCCAGTAGTTATTACGCACTCTCAGGATCTAATGTTAATGTCCGCCGATTAAACGTTTGAACTTCCGTGATCATAATGCCGGTGCTGGAGCTTGCCGCGGGACCCGTGAGGACGAAGGGCTTTTAGGTACTAATTTTATGTAAAGTTATGAGACGTCGGCGGTGCTCCGATGTGCCATCACGCTTCCCGCAGGTGCTATAATCAAGAACCCGCGCTTCACGACCGTCGTGTGCTGCAGTATAACTAAATATTCTGCCAGGAATTCCGACTCTTTCGGAGATGACGGAGATTCTTCCCGCGAAAACAAACTACGACCCTTCTGCGAGCTCCTGCGGAGCAGCCGAGAGATCCGTTCCTCCGAAAATGGAAAACGCGCGAAGGTGGACGTTTTCGCGAGGACGTCCACGCGAAGTCGAGTCACCCGCGAGATCCTCGTAGGAATATACGCGACGAGAAATGCGTTTTCACATATATATATATATATATTATCATCAACTATATGTATTTTTTTTTGTATAGGCAAAGAGGCATGCGCGCGTATATCGCATTTAACAAGTCTAGTTAACTACGAATGCTACGAAGGATATCGCCGAACAACACATAAATAAGCTGCAACGGACAAACACTATGCGCGCCTTCAGCGGCGACGTGTTTATGGCACCATAAAAAAATAAAAATAGGAAACATTTTTACAGGCTGATCATTAAAGCCGACTCGCGGCGAAGCAACGAAGATGTCCGTCAATTAATGTCTGCGGACTCACGTAACTATATCTCCCCGGCGTGCATACCGCAAAGGGTATATCGAGCCATCTTCGCCCGATCACACAAACTATTCTTTCCGCGTGCTCGTCGTAAGACCATCCTTCATTATCTATTCTCTCGCGCTTAATGACACGAATTTAAGAGCTTAGCAGGCAGCATATTTTTTACCATCTTCGAGACTGAGCACGAAGCTACAAGCCGATTCCAATTTCGTGACTCGCCCGCTGCATTCTCTTGTACTTGCTTATTTTTACAAGAAAGAGGAATTCTGTGCGCTAACTATTATAGTGTCTTGATGAAATGTGCTCGATGCACGACATACGAGTAATATTTTGAGGCTCTGCCTCTCTGCTTTTCGTGAGAAGAAGTAAATATCGGTTTCTTTTTTTTAATAAGTGATCGCTTTGCACAGAGAAAGGTGTAATAGTTGTGTATTTTATCGTCGACCGTCAACTAGCATTATCCTTATAAACACTCAATAAATTTCAAGTGTACACTCTTGAATCTTTCCTTGTCGTAAAAAGATTGTTGTTGGTGTAGAGATAATAGAGCGAGTAATCACTTGCGCTACCCAATTTTATTGTTTTACAGATGGCATATATCTTTGCGAAACACGCTCCTTCTATCACAGTCTGTCGTCATATGACACAACTATTGTCATACAGATCAACGTCTTGTTGGTTAATTATTTGAGCGTCAAGAAATGCAATTGCGCTTCCACAAAGTGTGAACATTGCCGGAAATCTCCGTCAGATTTCTTTCTTCTTTCGTCCGGAAAAGTCTCAGGTAGAACGCTGCCGCGCTACTTTCACAATTTCATGGTTCGCTGTGTTTATATTTGATATTTGAAAATGGTCGTTATAACAGAGCATTACGCGTTAACAGATTTATTTTCCAAGTGCGTTTTTTGAATGCGACATCCGTAACAAAAAATTTGATTTCTAAGAATCACGCAAAGACACATTTTCCCATTAAATGTCATCTACGTTCCGAGGTACGAAAAAAAGTTCTACAAAAAATTGTACACAATAGAAGATTGTTACGTAAATTACCACTCAAGCGCGATAACCCTAAAAAACCAGTTTGCACTTTTTGTCGCTTGCAACTTTCTTTATATTATATTCACGCTATAATACTTTTGGCAATTACTAACAAACTGAAACATAATCCGGATGTTTCGAGAGTACGAAAAGAACCGCAAAAGTCGAAACTACCTCCAAAGTATTTAACAGCAAATAGCAAACAGCTAAAAAAACTAGTACTGCTTCTGCTCCCTTTAGACATCACTTTGTAAGGTAACTAAGGTAACTAAACCTTGAGCCTTGACATTTACCCTGGATAGAGTCCTTCTGTGAGAGCTTCTTTGAAACTTCTCGAAAGAGAACGAAGGTATCTTGTGGAGCGCATCTCTTGCAAGTTGGCTATTTCGTGGCCACGCTGTGACGCTCAGAAATGATCTTCGATTGTAGAGACGCAATAAATGTGTTTTCAGGCGTTTTGATCTATTAGATTACCCCGATAGGAAGCATTCTTGTCACCATTGCCCGACGAAAATTTCGTGTCAAACGAATGAGCTTGAACGGAGTCGGGATAATAACGCAAACCGGATCGTAACACTTTGAAGTGTGTAAATGTAGCTCTTCTCTTTTTTTATGGAAGGGATCGGAATCTTTATGGAACGGACGATCGTGCGTGTGTGTATATCGTGATAGAATATTAATATTATTCAAGGCGCACGGTGTAAAACACGATATTAGCGCCGGAGAAACGACGAATGAAACTCGCACTTTCACCGAGCGCATTCTTAAAAGTGCGAGAGTTAGGATAATTGCAAACGATAAAAGTTGCGTTCGATTTAGCTATCAGTTACTTCTTGAAAAGTGCAATTGTTCACGAAAGCAAAGAGATATTTTCGATAATAAGTACTCACGCGACGTATCATACCGATGAAAAACGAAACGTTTGTAAGATTTTGCAAAAAGAAAAAGAAAATAAAATCTATCGGGTACAGAGGGATTTAAATAAAATTTCCGTACACAGATATGCTTGCTTTAGTAAGAACAATATTTATTGCAATGAGATATTATTTCAAAAATCGCTATTCATCAACAAGACGCTGATTCACAATCATACAGAAAAGTGCGCGACAATGCCCAAGTCTCGAAACACAATATTGAGACAATTCATTTGCATACGACCGCAGGACAAGCTACCCCGCGTTAGAAAAGCAGAACGTTAACTGACGCTTCATCGGCGTCCAAATATCGTATTAAGCCGCAACATGTTGCAGTTCATTGTTTGTATTGTACTGTGCATAATTTGTTTTATACGCCGCTTTTCTAGCCAGCGTAGACACTTCCAACAGAACACACATAAAGAATAAACTGTGGCGTGCAGAGCAATTCTTTGCTGGAGATGATTTTAACGCGATTACCGCTATCGGTAGCTAGGACAAGACAAATACTTTATATTGAACCTTGCCTTGCTTTATTCAAAACTTTTATTGCTTTGCTTTAAATCGTGTGCACGCGATGACCTGCCTGTTTCTTCAAAACCTGTCATATGACTTTTAGTGTTTATTGATAATTATTGATACTTAAAACAATTGTTTCTTTCTCATGAATTGCTCCATCTAAGCTTCGTCTAGCAAAATATATTACACACGTAGAAACGAAAGCTTATATATTTGTTATTGCAACCATTATGGGCTCTCAATAAATCGTGGGAAAAATATTATCATTATTACGCAAACATAATTTTAATAAAATGTAACAGTAAAACGTCATATATATAATCATCATGTATATTATCATATATATCACATATATTAAAGACGAGAATATACAATATAAGAGGGTGAGTTTAATATATATTTACTAGATAGATAAAAACATTATATAACAATAAATAATTATAAAAGAAAATAATAAAATAAGATAAAATATATAAAATTTAGGAAATAAATTGTATGAAATGAAATAATTATCAAAGTAAATGAAATAAAATATATATAACGTTCGAGTAAAATGAGAGCATGTAGATGCTTTTATTTAACTGCAGACTAGTAGCAAAATTGACTTAATCTCAAAGAATATTAGAAGGTTCTATAAAATAAAATTATTTAAACTCTTTCCATAAAATCATAAATTTGTTTGAGTTCCGAGTAAGAGCGAGTTACGAGCGTCGCAGAATTGTTATTATTATACAGAAATTTGTTTGTTGTATAAAGATGCTTGTTTCTTGATACATTAAACACAAAGTGTTTAGTGTGTAGAGTTTCTCATTTTGACTCATGGCAAACATAATAAACATATACAATGATTATATCGATCTTAATCACAGCCGTGATAAACTCGAGTTTTTGGCTCTAAATCATCTACACGGCAAAATGATTTATGAACTTCTGGCACAGTTTATAATTGTTGTGCATTCCGGACTATCGTGTATGATTTTGTTACGACCATGCAATAAAATAATATATTACACGAATCCACACCAATTAGAAGTACAGATGAGCGATATGTGCGCTATAAGACTTAGAAGCGATTACAATATTATCTTTGATCAGTCTTTTGACAATATAGATTTAGAGAAAGCGTGTATCTAATAGTTTATTAATATTTGCGTACTAACATTTGTTCCTCCAACTCCATTCCAAACTGATTTTATTAATTTTGTCCTTTGCACTGAATGTAATACCATATTTAAACATCATTAGCAAAAGTATTCTACCATAAACAAACGTTGCTCTTAGTAAACAATGAAATGTGCGAGTAAAAATTTGATGTTACACGTAAGCATATTTTAAAATTGGTATCAAGTTGTGAATATTCTCTCTAACATCTCTTTCACTATCTATTATATACATATAATTTATATAAATTATATTAATTTATTAATTATATTAATTTATATAAATTTATATTGTATACACAAGGAGTACACTCGTCGAATTAGGACGTGCTCTCGAATACCCTATATACATGATATCAGAGATATCAATAAATGACGATATTTGCAATGTTCCCTACATATTAATACTTCACATTTCACAATTCCGAGTTTTTGTGAATGTTCAAACACGAAGCTAAAGATGCTTGCTTGAAATTCGTCGTAAGCGCAGCAAATCTTGCTCGTTTAATGCAACATTCAACTCGAAGTATGAACAGCGATTGAATTGTAATGTAAATTTCGCATTTCCCTTCCATTTAAGTAGGAAATATTGTAAGTCCTAAATATACAGATTCACATTAGCGCGGATATACGACGCTTTTGTTTCTCGAATTTTAGCGTTGATGATTTCAAACTTGTAGAAACAACATTTGAAGCAGAGTAAAAATAATCGGATACAGAATAAAGAAAAAAAAATATATATATAATTGTAAATATACATATATATATATATATATAATTGTGCCTCCGATTATTTATTTCAATTCATCGTTATTTTGAATTGTTTTTATTTAAATGTTTTTTCCGCGAAATATCGCCAAAGTGCGAAGACAAAAGCATGATATCCCTTAAGGGGTGGCACTCACCCTCAAGTGAACGTGTTATAATGTGAGAAGGAAAATTAAAAATTTGCTTCCTACGCTTTGTGTCCGAAATCGATACAGTTTGCCGTGGCATTGCCGAACTGGCAAGAACTGGTCCGCTGAAACAAAAAGATTTTTACCTCCTTGCCTCATGCGCAATAAATTCGTCAGACGCAAAGCAACTTCCGCACGACAGCACTTTTCACATTGAAGGAACAATGTGATTACGCAAATTCAAATCTAACTAATGAACGCAAATCTGACAAAATCCAACAAAAACAAGCAGGAGTGAATTTTTATTAATAACCGAGGAGCTGCTCTCCCCCGAAGGTGTAAACTCGGCGCGATTCGCCAGGGTGGTGGGGTCGTGAGGGCCGCCTTCTCGGTTCTCTTTCCGTTAACGGATGATATCTTCGAGGGTCGGAACATTCTAGTCGAACGCCATTACGCTGAATAACGCAGGTAGACGGCTGCGATTGGTCGAGAGGAAATATTTGGTGGGGACTTCAGACCAGTCGTGGGCGGACTGTGCGCAGCCGTTAAATACCTGATGTAGAGACTGCTCACAAGCTTGGAGCAGCTGACAGTCTTCGCATTGCGAATTCTTTCGGTAGTCAGCATAGAGCCGCTCTATCGCTGTCACGTTCCGTTCCGTCGGCTCGTCAAAACAAATCTCGTCGCCCGCGCTACTCGTTCGCGAAATTCCGAATCCCCACATTCGCGACTAAACACAATTCGACGCAGTCGAGCACTTCCAGTGATGACCCAACACGCAATTTCTTAAGGTGACGATCAGATTGGCGCGACGTTTAACCGTTCCAGTGCAAACAGTGTACGTCGTGTTACACCGCGGATAACGAGTCGGAGTAAGCACCATGTCGGAAACCAGTACGAATGTCAACAACATCAGCGCGTACTTCAACTCACTGGGTGCTACATACTATCAGCCACAACGAAATGTACACCCGCAGACGCAACACACGCCGTCGCAAACACTAACGCCGCAGTCGTTGGTGCCGCAGCACCAACAATTCCCACAAATACATCAGCAAGCAATTGCTGCCACCATCGACGCGACTCACTGGCACGGTTATCCTCACGGGACTTTGCACATGAACCATCAGCAACCTGCAACCCCGGGCTCGCACCAATATGTTGACCATACCGAGTTATTCGCGTGGACTCACCACCATTACACGCATCTTCCGTACCCACCACCTCCGCAGTCATATTCCCAATTTCAACAGTATCCTCAATCGCAACATCAGTCCCAGATGCAGCAACTGCAGGTGACCGAGTGGGCGAACAACGTAAGCAACGTCAATTCCGGCCAAAACTCGCGGCAAGTGACCGGCGGTAGCAGTAGCGAGATCAGCCACCCCAGCACTCCGTCCACCCCGTACAGTCACAATAGCATCAGTAATGGCTTCAACCAAGCTCCCCATTCGGCGAACAGTCTACCGTTCGCGGCTGGTATCAGTTCTCCGAACACCTCGCAGGACCTCACTGTGCCGTCCACCATGGCTTCGCATCTCAGCGCGCCATCGTCCATCGCCACGGCGCGCGACCCCAACATACCACCGTCCAACGTCGCAAGCCGCGATCTCCATATCCCGACCACGTCCGCAACTACACCCGCCACGTCCTCATCGACACCTCGTGAGCACAACACACCATCCACCTCGTCGTCGCACAACGTGAACCTGCAGTACGTGTCTAACAATATGAACCAGCAGCCCGTGTCCCGCGATATATATTCGGTGAACGCGCGAGGCCCGAGCAGGAGCCCGTTCGGATGGATGAGGAGACCGTCGTATCAGAATCAGCCGAAACCGGGTGAGTGATGTCCTCTAATTACTTCATGCCCGAGCTCGAATCTGAGGGAGCAGAAAGGGAGAGTGTTTAAATGCCGAAGCTCATAGAGCGTAATCTTGGCACGCTATACGGGGATTATCGCAAAGTTACGTTGTGAGGGCGACGATTTCAACGCTGCGACCAGCGAAAAATATAAAAAATTTTCAATGAACGTTAGAACCGCTGTTTGCATTATTTTAGAAATTATACACGCGGAGGACGATCATCGTCGCCGATAAAAATCGTCTCTCAAGATCCAATAAGAAAACCAAAATTCTGCGCAAACAAAATTCACATAGCGCTTGTACACACAGCTGCACTTGTCGAGAGACGGATTATACCAACCGTTAAATTTTGCCCGTAATTCTCGCTTCAATCCTCTCATTGTCGTTGACACTTTCTTCTCTCACATTTTACAGTCTCTCCTGGAAGTTTTCGCATTATCCTTTGCTTATAACTTCTGTAAGCAAGTCTAGAAAAAAAAATAGCGTAATTCGCACGCGGCTATTATCGTGCTTGTCTTTAAATATCCAAGTAGCGATGGAACTCGCGAGTACTTAGCCGCAAATGAATTTGTGTCCAACTAGTCGCTACTAGTCAATAATGTAACGCTCGTTTTTCGAAGTTGCTAGATAAATATCTTAGCTGATGTCTAGACAAAAGAAATTACAACTACGTCGTGAAACATTGAAATTAACGGCCAGCAATGTAACTCTCTCTCTCTTCTATCCCTTTAAAATTTCTACAACATAACGCAAATTTGATTTTCACACCCAATTTCCAAATATTAGTGGCGATACAGTACAGCTAGGAAGAGATTATTTTATTTATTTTATTATATTTAGGTTTATCGTACAAACTGATTCTACATTTCAGTAAATAGCCAGTAATTAGCCAGTAATAAGCTAGGAAATATAATTTAATCTGTGTGTGTTAGCTAGCTGCTAGCTTCCTAATCATGTCGATTAATTACGCTTCTACTCGGGTATTTTAACCTATTGATTGAAAAAATGAACGAAAAATGATTACGAAATGTCCGTTGAAATGTCTTATTTATGGGAAATATAATATTAAGATAACATTAAGACATAATCGTAGCAATAAGATGTAAATACAAATGTATATATGAATTCAAGTAACATTAACTTCACCCGGCAAAATTCAAATCCGTATTCAGTAACATACTTATTCTATGAGACATTATTCTGTGTACATGTGAGAAGTCCGTGTGTAAAATAAGCAGGCGATGCGCGTCACATCGAGAACTTAAAGGCAGATATTTTTTATTTTACAAAATTCGCAAGCAATGACTCGTTAAATCAATCTGCTAACTTTCAGCCGACGAACTGCGCGCCGTCGGACACATTTCACCTCTCCACTCGTCGGTGCTTAGTCCCGCTATGTTTTTATCTTATCTCGCATTTGGCTAGGTATAGCATAACGCAATTTACGTAGAAGTTATTGTAGATTATAATTGCTCGATTTAAATCACAATGGGAAAATTAAAGCGGGATATATGCGCGGAAAAAAGGACTCGATTCGCACAAGTGAATTTTTATTCCCTGAGGATCAAATGAAAACGCTATGACAAGAGATAATCGTTACGTCAAAGTACACGTGTATAAAACTAAATCAGAGCTACAACAAGGGTCTACGTCGACTTACTTGTTTAAACTATCTTCGCATCGTCCGACGTGATGGTAATCCTCGGTTTCAAGAGATCGGCTAGGAGGAAATCGTGTTATTCGAAAGTCATGGCGCAATGGAGTACGAGTCTAACGAGAACGAAGAGAACTTGCTCGTTCGTATCGCGCGCAGTTATAAACACGTCTCGCCGGTCTAGATACGGCAAACCATGTAAACATGGTAACAGACGCGCAAACATCTAATTGCTCCCAAATATTTGTGAGATAATCCCCAAGCTCTTGTCATCAACCTCAATTTTCCACCGTATCCGAAAGAGAGTCCCAACCGTTCGCACGACATCCTGAATCAACACGCGGCAAGGAAGAGTTGGAGTTCCTTGAGGAAGTCGGAGTTAGAGGACCAGGGCTGCAGCGAGCTCCAAGTAGCGTCCTTGGCCTTGAAAAGAGGAGTCTCTTGCGCTCTAATCGAGGAATCTAATCGACTGCCCTCGTACTTGACGCGATCCGCGATATAATTCGCAATTACCACTTTGCTATGCTCAGCGGAGAAAGTTGTTTTGTAGCTTTGTTGTCAAATTCGTCAGTCTCATTGGTCAACGTACTCTTAATCCTGGCTGAATCAAAAAGCGTATACCAACCAGACTCATGAATTTAACAACAATTGCAAAGTAGCCTGCCTCTCTGCTGGATGTAGCCGATGCTTCCAATTACGTCGCCTTCTGTTTCCAACGAGGATTGAAAATGTATCTCTTTCACCCCTAAACAGCTTGTAAGAAATCTTTGCATGCCTTACCAAGCCCTTGCTACGGCCCTGGAAGTATGTATTATACCTCATATCGCGCGGAGCATGTTTGATCAGTATCAAGCAAAGATAAAGGGTGAGCGAAAATTTGGTCATTGCCTTCGCTTAAAATGTTTTCTACCTAGCTCAGGTATATGTTTGACTTTTTTTTTCTTAATTTACAATTATAAATTTTCGTCGCATTACTGAAGTCAAAGTTAGTTTTGTAAAAGCTGCTGCAAATTCGAGTGTATTCCACTGTTACGGCGTTACGTGAGGCGTGTAAGATCGGAAAATGATTTGGAACGACGAAAGTACCCCGATAGATGCTGTTGTTTCTACTGTTGCAGCTGGCAATGATGCCGCTGCCTCTAACGCAGGTGCTGTTTCAACGATTAATGACCTCTGCAGTCGTCTTGCCCTCCTCGGTAGGATTTATAAAGTATAATCGATGGATCGTTGTGTATACAATGCGGTGGCGTAACTACGAATATTTCACTCTCAAGCGAAATTACGGAGGAAGAAAGTGCACTCCTGATCTCTACTCTCTTCCGTTGCTCCGTTTACGTAAACAAAGAACGATCAAAGTAAAAATTCAATTCTCATAAACGCACGTTCAATCGTCGTTGTCGCTCACTCGCTCTTGACAAAATAGTTACGCCATTCGCATGATTCGATTGCGCATGCAGTTATTATCTGTAAAGTAGAAATAGAAATATTTGCGAGAAGATTTTTATTGAACGGGCTTAGCACGTAGTTACGAGAAAATACCGATAGAAAATTATTAACAATGACGAAAAGTAGGTCTAGAGCATGTATATAATTCTTTTAATCGTTTTCGATCTCTCTCTTTCTCGTATTCTCTTCTCTCGATATACAACATCGATTTATGGTGCACAGAATTTGGTGACATTACCTCCGCAGAATGTGACCGTATTGTTATTTATATTTTTGCGTTCCGTATTAGTATTGTGTAGCATCGATATAATCTCTCGCTGTTAACCCTTTGATGTTTTAATTGCAGAACTCTCCGCATGCATGTAGCATAATTGTTGCATTGCGTTGTATCGTTATCGATTGAGAACAGAAAATTCGCGTAACTTTTTTCTACATGGCCATGATGTCGGCGCGAAGGGAACGAACGAGCCCCTCGATTAGTCTATGGTGTTGTTAATGTTTACTGTTCCTGTAGTGGCTACGTTAGCATGTTAGCAGCGATAGAGATTTGGCAAATAGATCACTTCTTCGTCCGTTAAAAGTCACAACAATAATTACGTTGCGCTCAAGCGGGATCGTAAATTTAGTCACGCGTCGGGATCGGTTGGCTTCCGCGCGAGGATGCGCTTCATTTACAACACCTTTTAAAATCTCATTGTTGCCTCACGTCTTGTGCGCTAGTGTTATCTTCATCCTGAAGTTCTCTTCCGGCACGTTGTAAAGGTCGAATTAGTCATTACGTAACTTTTTTCGAAGATTGCCACATCCCAACTCCCGTGCACGCTCTCACGGCGAGACATCAATCGCGAGCGGTGCAAGGTCGGGCTGTTAGCGCTAATTTGCGGACGATGAACTTGAAGAACTATCTAACTACTTAATTATTCTCATTTCATCCGATGTGGAAATACATCGATCTTGAGAGATTTTCAAACAGTCGAAGACAACCTGCGCGTTACCGATGCAGTCGCTGCTCATTGCGCGTCGTGCAACATTTTCAGTCGACCGACGACTGCTCGCACAAACACTGCACATCTTGAGCGCATTTGCACTTCCGCAAAGCGGAAAGCCGTAACGCAGCCGATTTGTATTACTGGTTCTTTCCTTTTTTTTATAGTTACATATAACGTTATCCGTACTGGCGGAAATGTTCACGGCACTGTTTGCGCTTTCTTTGTGCCGAAGCTCCGTCCCCTTTTCTCCCTCGCTTTCGTCAGGTAAATTCCACGAAACCTCGCGGATCTGTTCTAACCCTTGTTTCTCGCCGTTTTTCCCCAACTCGTCCCTTTTCCTTTCGCTCCTCCATTTTTTGCCCCTCGTGCGATTTCACGGACGTGCAGTACTTTGACCGAACGAACGTCCACTGCCTTCCAACACCTATTATCTGCATTTTATGGCTATATTGCAGGTAGAGCCGCTCGGTATTTTCGCCATGAGGACGTGCATTCGCTCGTTCGCTCGTCGGCTCGCACGATACAGAAACGCGATGCGTTACATTACAATATCGTGCGCTTTCACGTTCGCGTATATCGCGAATCGCAGCCGTTCCGTGAGAGCGCATTTGCGTCGCGACCCTACGGTGGCAGCACGCGATTTCTACGGCTTTTATGGCGTCTTCGTCTCGTCTCATTCCGTCTCGGCTCGTCTCGGCTCGCAGCGATCCTCCCTTAACGGCACGATTAAAAGTAACATCGAATGCCGAAGGGGAGATCCAAGATTATTCCTCCGGGTCCGAGAGAAAGAAAACGACACGCGGCGCTATATTATTTCCAACGAATGGCCGCGGACTGTAATTGTTTTCGCGTGAAAAATAGTCGATCTTTCGGTGATCTCGCGTGATCTCGTGTGATCTGCAGCCTTCGATTGTAAGAGGTTGCGGCGCTCGCGGGCGATTGAGAGGGGCCAAGTTTCGCCCTTCGATCGCTGAAATATCAACCGAACAGTGCGGTTATGCAACGCGGTTATACGCTTGTGCAACGTTTCTGCACGTTCCAAGGGACGTCTGATGATTTCAGATCGAAGAAACCCTTGAAATCGAAGTTGCTGGTCCCCGAAATATCCTAGACATCTATCTTTAGCTTTCATTAGCTTTGGCGGCATTTTTTTGTCAAAGGTATACAACAAGAGAACCGACGTAAAAATGTGTCGAACGTTTAGTTGTCTCCGCAGGTAGTACAGCCGAGATTCGTCTCAAGGATTCCTTCCTCTGCGCTCTTTGGCGCGCCAGCTTGACGACGGCGCGCCGTGATGTGTCTGTTTCTTCAAAAGAGACGTTTAGGACGATCTGTTTACCGGTCCTGTCTACACCGGCCCGCCTCTTCTGTCACTTATGAAACAAATAAAATAATGAAACGAGCGTGGCGGCCCTGTGATTTTTCAGGGTGCACCGCACGAGCGATTTTCAGCGCCCGAAATGTTGCCCGAACTTCAGCCAGCCCATTCCATTGTCCAACCTCGTGCTAAGTGTCCGACATGAAAAAAAAATACTGCCGTAGGTCACACATGTCAAATCCAATAAAGCGCGAGATTTTCATGGTCGCTCAAGCGGATTTGGAAACTTGAGAACCGCTCGCTCTTTCTCGCGCGCCAAACAACACAATGCAGCCCGTGTCATATTATAAAAAGTACATTCGAAAAGTAACAGTCCAATAATTACCAGTGCACGCGTAAACGGGTGTTTTATTTGCCGAGGCTTTCTTCCGGTTCCAGCGGTCATGTCGAATCGCCAATTTCGGGCAGAACGGACCGACGATTTCGTACGTACGAACGCTCGCAGGTGTAATAGCGTGTATTGTATATATCCAATGCATATTAATGCGCATTTATATAAATGCACACGTAGAATTGTTCGACCGCTTTGTCCGATATTGGCGATTCACGATATATCGAGCCGAGACAAGTGAATACGCGCGCGCCTGTCGAGAAATTATTACTTGTTACTTGAATATACTTTTCACGAAACAACACTTAGCATGCGATTATTATATTCAAATACGAAAGCAAAGCGCGTGAAATAGCCGTGTGATCGGCAGGCGAAAGAAAATAAATGACCTTCGAGCTTGGAGTATTAAATTACGTTACTTCCGAGTTACCGTAGAGTCGATTTCTTTTGATCGACACAGATAACGCGTAATCATTATCCTCCGAGTTACAACGACGCAAGAATACCGTCGTTTGACCTGGAAAGTCCGAAATTACTCGTCACAATGCATTTTGCCCGACGCTGCAAATCGCATGTATGCGCAAATAGAACTGTGGCCGCAGAGCGGCCACGGTAGCCGGCGAGGAATCTCTCTCGCCGTTCGCGGGCACTTGATACACGATATACAAATGCGAGATGGCACAATAGGGGTAATTGTGACGCCGCTGACAAATGGCACCCGCGCGAGTCGGCGCACATGACGGACGACGCGGCGCCGAGCCGAGCCGCGCGTCGACGCGATATCGCCGGGGGTTGTCAAACACCCACAGGAAAAGCGGGGCACGCGCTTTTGCCATTTCGCGGCGTGAAATGGAAGAGCAAACGCTATAATGGGGTGGCAACGAGTCCCAGGAGCACCGTTTCTTCGCCCCCTCGCTCGCGCGCCTTTCATCTCTCTTTCTCCCGGGCAGTCTGTGGCTTCCTCTCACACATTTCGTCCGTAAAATCCGTCGTCTCTCTTCGTCATGCTCGGTTCGCATTTCGCGCGGATACTCGAGAGAAATAGCTCGAGTGGATCACCAGAGTGGCTGGCTCGAAGATGTAGCCAATGACGGCTCGACGTCGGATTCGACGAGACGCATTTTAAGAAATCGCAGGCCGATACCGTTCGCGTTAACGACGTATTTTAAGGAATCGGCGAACGGCCGCTCCACCTCGTTGACGAGGATTACGAAATTTGCATGACGACACGTTGACTTTTGGAATTAAAAGAATTCAGATAACGGCACGTTGGCACTTCTGAAAGAGAGGACGGGAAATTTTATGTTGCTAGGGCCAAGAGACTCGGCAGGTAACGCGAGCACAGATTCGACGCTTACAAGCACGCCATTCAGAGCATTCATCGGCTGCATCGCGGCTCCGCAGCGAGTCACCGTGGCTGGATAATCGTAGGTGCTAGCTCCGATATCGGTGAGATGAAAAACGCCGACGGTAATCCTTTCTGACTCACACACGAGCACACGTACGCACTTGCGCGGTCCGTGCATCGGGAAACGAAAGAACTCGCCCTTGCAAACAACAGCCTGTACAGCATGCAGACCATTCGAGACCATTTCGACGTGGTCTTCTCTCTGCCCGAAAATAAAAAAAAGAAGTTTTTATAGAAAGAATCACACACACACACACACACACACACACACAAACTTGCGCTGAGAAAGTTGCTCCCGCTAATCGTGAAAGACAAGTCGAGGAAACTAGAAACGTCGATTTTTCCGTTGGTCTTCCCCTCGGGTCACGCGTTATTGCAACGAGAACGATTCACACTTTGGTATTTTAAAGCGTTGTTTATTCCTCGACGAGTGTCGAAACATTGACATTTCATGAAGAAAAAATATATTGAACGTTTCTTGAGATATTTATTAGACATTATATTGTTCTCACGCTTCTTTTCACGCTATTGCGTAATGCGAGAATCTCGAAAACATCTCAGCATCTGCCTGTGCCTCTCAACTAACATCTCAATTACTCGCTTTTAACTGATTAATTCTCTCATTATATCGCATATGCGAATGCTGTAGTGTCTTTCGTCCCGCGATAAAAGCTGACTTGCGAAATTATCTTTTGCAAGCGATGAGAGAGAGATTCACGCGCGCGTATACGGGGAATCTATCGCAATTCAGGCCGGTACCGCACACGGTTTGGAATTTTTTGATTCGATTACAATCTTCAGAGAGATAAAGAGTATGTCTCTTTCGATAAGGTTTAAGGATGTCTCACGTTTGTTTACGTGCATCAGGTTGCGCGACGCTCGTACTTAACGTGCCAAATATTTGCGATGACAATAATGCATTGCGCGACTGAAGCGAAAAGGAAAGAAAGAAAAAGAGAGCGAGAAAAGATCCGAGCTGCATATCGCGCGTCTCGTATTGATCGATAGAATTATAAGGAGAATACCGTCTAATATTTAGTCTTCCTTCGTCTCTCTCTCTCTCTCTCTCTCTCTCTCTCTCTCTCTCTCTCTCTCTCTCTCTTTCTCTTTATCGTGCAAGCGTCATATTTATGTAACAGAGATTTAAGCTAGTCGTTATGTAACGGTGAAACAATTGAATCATTGTGGCGAAAGAACGCGTTGTGAACGGAACTTTCCTTTAGCGGAATAAGAGTGGAATTCCTGCAAGTTCTATGCTTGATATGAATTTTTGTACTTTGCCGAAATTATCACGCGTAAAAGTACGATTTGGACACTTTTGATCGATATGTATTGCCACTTGATGTGGCAAAGGAATCAAGAATTTTTGTTCTATTTTTATCGCTGCAAATTTTTATTGTAATTCACACTCATAACTGATTCAATGATATGAAAAAATCCTTACTGAAATTATTAAGTTTTGTCGTGGATTAATACACATGATTCGATGATAAATGACATAGAAAGCGAAGAGTAGGGACTTACATTTCGATTACAGACCGACCCGGTCGAAATTCGGTAGCGACGAATAAAGCACAATGATCGCAGTGAGCGTGCCGATTTATTATATAGCGCGCCTCCTCGCACGGGGGCAAAGGCGTGATTCAAGCATTATCATAGATACGGAAAGCTGAAAGTGCCCGCGATAACGATCGATCTCGAAGTAAGTAGATGAAAACTCGAAACCCGACAGTCTGTAATATATTGCTCTCCGTTATTTGAACAGATCTCACACAGATTTAGCAGTGAACGTGCCACGAGCGTGGACGCGTATATCGCTCGAGCGTCAACATAGCGTCTGACTTAAAGTCTTAAATAGCTTCAATGTTTACGTTACATCGTGCAAATATATGATGCGTGAAAAGAACATTAAAAAAAATCAGATCGTTCCAATGCAATAGAAGTAAGGTACAATTTGCAAAACTTTTTTCTTTTCTTTTTTTTTAATAAGCGAACTATATGTCTGTGTTTAAGTATCGTCTCAATATTTTCACGATTTTCCCGAAATACGTTTATGCGTTCCTTCCTCAAAAAACAAAAGATAATGAAAAATGATAAACATCTCTGCTCCGTGAAATTGCGGAAAGAAACTTGGGTCGCTAACAAAGCGCTGGACAAAGCGTTGGTTTTCACTTTAGTTTAATGTTGAGAATTTCTTTCCCCTATACTCACACTTTTTCCTTGGAGGGAAAGGAGAAGGCTCGAGCATTACGGAAGGACATTCAAAACTTCCAGATGTGTTTTCCATAGAACCAGTTTCCTCTCGTTCGCCCACAGCAAAGTGCCCACTCCTGACGAAGAACGCATGTAGACATCCGTCGTTTTCGCATCCTTACGAAAGGATGTTCTCCTGGCAGGCCGGTGTCAGCCATGCTGGATTCACCTATGTGTACCGTCAAAAAGTCTAAGATCGCTGCTTATTCGTGATGCCACGAAGGCCTCGGTGTTCCCTTATCGAGGAGTGGTGGATTAACGTGCACGCCTTTGATCTCGCCGGCGGGGTCTTATCTAATCGTGTCCCTCTCTCCCGAGCGATTCCTTGCCGTCACCATCCCTGTTCCCCATTCCTCTCTCCATTCTGTATTTTGTGCGCATGTTACCGCCACGAACGACGCCACGTCGTAAGAACCGCATTCACACCGTGCGGCCGCTTTCTCGACGCACCTCTCTTGGCGCTTCGTTTCTTCTTCTTCACGAGTAATCACCGCGCGTTAGTCGCTGCAAATCGTAAATGCGGGTCTCTTTCTTTCTTTCTTTCTCTCTCTCTCTCTCTCTCTCTCTCTCTCTCTCTCTCTCTCTCTCTCTCTCTCTCTCTCTCTCTTTCCTTCTTTGCGTGTCGTTGTTAATATTCAAAATAGTATATTAATTTATATCGCTGACCTTGTGCAATTTGCTTCTCCTTTCGCTCTTTTTCATTCCTGGGCATTTCCGATAAAAAGTAGTCAAGTCTGAGCAACCGGGGTGACTTTACTGATTCTCGATTGCGCAGAAAATCCTCAGTTGCTCCTTTGTCGGGATCTTCAGGATGTCTTCCCGTTTTGGAGCAAGCTATATACGTGTTTTTTATGTTCGCCGATCCGGCGTAAAATTAATTACGACGCTTGATTTCTTTACCTTATTAATGTCGCCATGCGATGTATGTATACGCGCTCGCTGAAAACGTTATCTTCTTAACGTATTATTGACAAGAGAATCAGTACGATAGATATTAACCGCGTAATAACGTCGGCCGTTATCTTCTTCTTTTTCAGGAAAGACGCGTACAAAAGACAAATACAGAGTGGTCTACACGGATTACCAGAGGCTGGAGCTCGAGAAGGAGTTCCATTTCAACCGTTACATCACGATGCGACGCAAAGCAGAGCTCGCCAAAACACTCGGATTAACGGAGCGTCAGGTGAGCAAATGGTGCCAAAACGAACGGACACGCAGACGGATGGCTCTTCTTCGCGGCGAATCACCGACGCGCAAATATTTCCTTACGGGATCACGCTGTTCTCTCGCGTTTGGTAACGAGCGCGTATCATATCGGAGATTACAGCTTTCCGAATTGGATTCGTCGCCCGCATGCGTACTCGAGACACCGTGTTGACGCCGAGTCAGATGCGAAAATATTTAATGATCACGGCATGCGTGATTGCCGACAAGCTTCGACGTTAATTAACCCTTCTGTAGGCGCATGCGTTTCTTATCTGGCTTCAGTCGCATCGGTCTACCACTGTGGACCACAATGTTTCGCTCCTCACGTGAATGAGATCAATGTTGTTCTGCTTGCAAGCAACCGCACGGAAAGTAAAGAACCTCGTTGGTACAATTGAGTTTTCCATAGCCTGGGAAGAGCAGAGACCGAACGGAAAATTCGGCTCCCGCGACCGAAGACGTTCCTTAGAATATTCAGCTGTGTTAAAACTCGGTTGGGATAATCGAAGACGATTGACCCATGAGAAACCTACGAGAATCTTCTCGTTTCTATATTCGAGTTTTCTGTGTGATTCCTATTTTTTTTTTTTCGACTTTAGTTCAAGTAAGTAGTGAGGGAATAAGAGACGTGAGCAAGTTCAGCACGCGTAAGGAGACGAGTATAGAAAAGACATGAGACTTCGATAGAGCTTCTGCATCCGAGACGCAGGCATAGGTCAATGGCTCGTGCACACGAACATGAAGAAGCGCAGGGCGATTACAGCCGACGGAGTCAGGTCAGTCAGGTTTCTCTTGCACAGGTGAAGATATGGTTCCAAAACCGACGGGCGAAGGAGCGTAAGCTGCAGAAGAAGCGCGACGAGCAAATGAAGGGGGATACACAGCAACAGACGGCCAGAACGTCCGGCAGGATTATCGACGGCACTGCGTCGGTGGCTGGCGTCGTGGTGCACAACAACCCCCTCAACATCAATTCGGTCCCTCTGAACATGGGCCACTCGCAGCACAGTCTGCACGGCCCGATGGTGCACGCGCCTCCGAGCCTGCATCTGCACCTTCAGAACGGGTACCAGCATCATCAGAGCGGACACACGTATCAGAACAGTTGCGCGTATCAGAACGGGCTCGCAGCGTCGCAGGGCGAGCAATTGTATCAGAACGGACTGCCGCCGCCGGACGAGCCGGCGCCTCAGCAAAACGCGCATCTTTACCAGAACGGGCTGTCACCGGCGGACGGGCCGTCGCCCCCGGACGCGCAGTTCTACTCGAACGGAGTGTCGCCCCAGGACGAGGCGTCGCCTCAGGACGGACAGGCGCCTCAGAGCTCGATGCACTCGTCGCAGAATGAACGCACCTAACCTGTGTGAAGTTAGCCCCGCACTTTTCGAATTTTAGCTTACCGTTGATCGTGCTGCATCGCGCGCAAATTGGCAAAGGAAAAGAGGAAGAATGGAAGGAACGCGAAGTTTTTTATGCTGACCCCGCACTCTCGAATCCGCTCCGAGTTTGAGGAAACAGATGAGAGAATTCGAAAAGGGCAGGGTTAACTTCACACACAGGTGTGCGCAGCTACCGCAACAGGCCTCCGCAACGAGGTCGTGGTGTTCTCCTCGCTCGTGACGGACTCGGAAAGTCGCTTCGTATCTGGGAGAGAACGTTTGCAGCACATGAACGACGTGCACCCACATGAAGGCCGGCACTTAGCAGAAGACGCATTGTCTTGTGTCGCAACGGATGAGTAAGAACGATCGTTCGCGTATCGCTCTCATCGGCATATACTGGACTTGATTTCGTTCACTTGCTCTCGTCCGCCGTACATGAACGAACCCCTCGACCGGTGCGACGATCATGTAACGCCCGTCGGCGCCACATTACGCTTAACTTTGGTTCGATTCCTCGAGAGCTTGTCCTCTCTTTTCTCTCGTTCCTTCGTTGCATCTCGTCTCGACCGCCGAAGGGTTCGAGACTTCTCGCGAGGGGCAGAGGTGAAGCTACGAAAGAGAGTTCAAAGTTTGCCTTAAACCACACTGACGCGCGCGCGCGCGCGCTGTCGAATGGTTGTTATAGTCACTTAAGTTGTAAGTTTTAGGCACTAGGCCGTAGAAATCGCGCGACGCGTCATTCCCGGCATCGTATTGCCGGGCATTTGTACATTTCGACGAGCACTGTATGGTGTATTATTTTGTACGATATCTTCTTTTTTTTTCTTTTTGCCAAACTTCAGAGTATATAATTTTAATTTAGTCGCGGAGTCGATTATTGGCGCTGACATGTATAAACGCTGTCATATGCTATACGGTGCGTTATTTAAAAGGACCTAACTTATATCTTTATTTTTTATGTCTATTTTTACTTTTAACTTATATAATTTATGTCAATGTTAACTAGCGTTTTACTTAGGGAACGTAGCTCGGTAATCCGAGATTCTAAGAATCGTAATCCTTAGACGACCATTAATTACCTCGTCTCGATGTCTTATGGACTTTCCATTACTTGAAAGGGAATCCTCCTAGAAGCAGAATTCACTAATCGAGTCCATCGTCGTAACTAGCGTCGGATGTGAAGTAACTATCGAATCATTTTCACCACAGTCAATCACATCGTGATCAAAATCGAACTAACGGATGCGACATATTAATATACGTTGATAACGATCCGGTCGGTCCTTGTGCTCCGAACACAAACAGAAAGAATAGAAGAAAGTCCAAATTGTGCCTTAAACCACAGACGCGAGCATCGAATGTGGTTGTTACAGCGGCTTAGTTAAATTTAGACGTTAAATTGTTGAAGCGAATGTTTCTTCTACGCGAAATTTCGGGATATTTGCGTGTTCCAAGGGGCACCGTAGCAGATTATATTGCACGATATTTTCTGAAATTTTATAGTATAAGCAAGGTGCATTTTGGCAATGCACGCATACACACGCACACACGTACGCATAGAACGTCGCGTATAAATCTTCCCTCACTCCGAGCACGACAGACACTTGAACGCACCTTTGAGGCCTGCAACACGATGGACATAGCAAGGCTTTAGCCTTTCGCTGTAAGCTCAAAACTGCAACGTAATTTCTGATCAAAAATGTTTCCCGCGCTGACAGGAATTGCAACAACGCTTTGCGTTTACGAATTGCTGCATCTAGTAGTCTGGAAATATCTTCCGACAGAAATTACATTAGTTTCGAACTTAGAGGCTAAATACCTACCATAACCATTGTGAATCCGCACCTGAAAGGTCGAGATTCAAGCTATGCACATATACTGTGAAACACAAACACCCATAAGGACATCTAGAAAATATAAGCTATTCTTTGTTGCGATGCAGCGAGACGAGGTGAGACAAGGCACGTCTCCGCTTAATCTGGATGGACATTTAAGATATTGAGAAGGGAAAGTAAACCGTATATACTCATTTTACACATTATCTAACACACACATACACACAGTATCGTTTACATGCTTATCATTAAATCGATGATCTTAAACTCATGAGCTTTTTTCTGTAATAATGTACATAATATTATTCGATATACATTATATCGAATATAATGATTGCACGGTGAAAAGATTTGTTGCTACAGCATATTTTGTTGATTATTATTATATGTGAACAATTTATGGGCATTTGTACATTAGGTTGTTCGATAAGTTCGGCAAGTTTGGATTTTTACGAAAAACTCCAAGCTGATAATTCTGTAGTCCGGCACAATTTTATTTCTTTCGTTTTTTCAATAATTTGCCATCGAAGGTCGATGACAAATTGTCGAAAAAGGAACAATCAATCGTATCGTTATTGAAATAAATTTGTGCCCAACTTTACAAGTATACGCCTTGAAGCTTTCATAAAAATCTCTACAAACTTATCGAACAACCTAATGTACACATTTATAATGATATGAAAATTTTGCTGAAGGAAAAACAAGTTTGCAACATTAAAAAATAATTTTTATAAATTTTCTCTTTTGATCAATTCTCCGAAGACGGTTTTATATCAGTGTTTTGAGATGTAAACTTCCTCGCGGATATTCTTCGCATAAGCATTTTAAAATTAATGGCGCAAAAAATACTTAGGAGTTAGGAATATCTGAAAAGTTACATCCACGTGATGATGAGAATATCGTATTTACGATGTTGAACAAATGTATCATCAGTAATTCCGTGAAACAGATTTTGCTTTGTTTGTCGATTCGTTCTAATAGCGGACAAATGTGTTCTTGTGAACAAATTTATTCAACACAGCTTCTGTTATTATTCTCCTAAAACGAATCATTTGTTTTGTTATGATATATTTGTTATGTATATGTTGTTGATATTATATTATATATATGTTTTAATGTCGAAAAAATTTTAACGAGAGAGAGAGAGAGAGAGAGAGAGAGTAGGCAACTTTTTTTTTACTTTAACAGTAAATAAACATATATTTACTAATGCAAATTCACCCAACAAAATTTTCATCCACCGGTGGAGAGAGCTTGCTGTGTAACATTGAACGACTGTTCGCACAGTTGATTTTATTAGCGAAATTTTCCTTGTTGTCACTACTACTATACAGCAGCGGCGACTGTCTCGCCGCAACGGCGAAATTCTTCGATCCTCAGTGGCGCGTAAAGCAAGGATGCGCGTACTGCAAAAGGATTCCGGATACATACACAGGGCGGACGTTTTATTACAGTTTTCATCCGCAGATTAGCCCCTTTGGAACCATCGATACCCGATTCAGGCACTTTTATAGCCCCCTCATAAAAGTATCTATTTGGTGTTTTCGACTGGGCCGACTGGGCCGCAGCAAGTCGAACAAAAAGGCATCTTCCGCGTCTACCTAGGAATTTCGAGGTATATACGTAAAGCGATGTTACGTCTCGGGTTCCAATTACGCACGGATTGCCGACCGGGAGTCGTCCTTTCAGGATCCACCACGGAATCGGTCCGTGCCGCTTCCCCGGCTTTTCTTACCGTTATCCTGGACGCGCTCGTTCTTCCCACATGCGTCGCGCGCCGCGTATCGGGACACTCTCCGCGGCAGCCTTTTGTAGTTTTGTCACGTTTGGAAAAATATGGCAAAAAGATCTTTATCTCTCTCTTTTTAGCGTTCACGACGCGCCACAATGTTGGATAGATTGGATACAATGAAGACGGAATTTATGTATTTTTTACCAGAAAATATGTTTGCCCTCTGTTACATTTAATCCATCATTCCTCGCGATCACGTCGAAACAGCAATTATAATTTTCTCAGATATTTCTCTGCTCATCGAGGCAAATATAATTTCACTAAATTGCTGACATATATCGACACCTTGAGCAAAATAAAAAACGCATAAAACACGTGTCTACATTACACAAGACAGAATTCATCTCCGTTGTTATTTATTGGCCTGTGTTTTATAAATGGTCTTTGTCGGCGGTTGATGCGGTGGAATCAATTAAATTTTGTATGCGTCTCTTAACTGTACACCAAATATATATTTGTTCTGCCGTCGATACGTTGTAATGCATAAAACATGTAACACACCGAATCTCCATTAATCCTAGGACAGCGGGTGGAGCGTGTAAATGCATAAAAGTCCAAGAGGCTGCGTCAAAATCTAGATTGCGCAATGTTGCGGAATACGACGCGTTTGCCGTTTCAGCGTAAATTTCTACATATTTACAACATGCGCACGCGCGCGCGCGATAACTTTTTTTCAATTCAGCCGCGAGAGAGTCTCCGATGAATAAATCCGCACTGCGAATGGCGGCGGCGGATTCGTTTGCGTGCAATTAAATTCCGATGCCGTCGTCGCTTTTTCGCGTCATCAGTCTCTCACGGTGTTTATTCGTCTCCGTGTCGCAACAACGACAACGCGTCCGCGAACGCTGCGTATCGAAGCTTGGGCTAATCAGCACCGCAGGCAATAACTGGAGCGTATAATACTGGAGGTGTCTATCTCGTTATGCGGTGGTTCCATTAATTTCTCCGCAGCGCCCATTTCTCATGCCGTCGCGCGCAATTGTCGGACTCACTCGAGACCGCGCGTTTCATTCGCGTGCGTTCGTTCGTTCGCGGAATTATTTCGACGGGGACGAAATGAAACGCGGCCAATTTCGCGAGGAAAACAGCCGCGATAAATATGTTATCTAAAGTCCGACGAGCAGGGAGGGAAAGAGAACGACCGTGTGTGGATGCTACACTGAGGGAAAAATGGAATTGGAGAGAGACTTTACGGTCGAATAGAATTCGCTCGGTTAAATGTCTCGTCGATTGAACGCTAAATTGTATAATTACTCCACGATGATTTGTCGAACCTTCGCAATTCGAGCAGCGCCTGTGTGAACGTATCTTTGCGCTAACGCGCCATTTGTTCACAACTGGCTACACTATCAGTATATCAGTCTATCAACATTGTTGTTGTTATCGCCATTATTACTATTTAATGCTTTTATTATTTTTATTAATACTTCTTTTGGTAGATTTTGTCGATCCAACTCCTTTTTCCGCATCCGACATGAGTTGAAGGATAATTCGAACGAATGTTTCGCAGTTTGTTCAGAACATTGTTCTTTCGACCGCATCTCTGGTCGCTTCTAAACGAGCATTTCCCCGACTTTAGAGAAAAAAGAAAAAGAAAAAAAAGAACGTTGAGGAAAGAACGATAGAGTCGAGCCATCGAGAGCGCTTTCGACGGTCGTGTTTACCGAACGAGCTCGCCAGACTGGCAACGCGCGTCTCGTCTCTCGCCGCGCCGGGAAGAAATCAAACCTTCGACCCGCCGGTGTCCCATAACCGCGCAAAGTTGTTCCTGGTTCTCGGCCGGCCGGGGTGGGCAGAGGAGGACCGCCGACAGGGCGGCTCGGTTGTCGAAGCGTCGGGGGTTGGTTTCAGGGGATGAGGTGGGCTGGTGCGGGTCGGACATCGATCTGGTAGTTAACTTCAGTGCCCCCGCGGGACTCGTTGCCACCTTCGTCTGCTTCGCGCCGGTATGCGTGGATGGGGTACGGCCGTTGTGGAACGCGCGCGTCTCCTACATCTCCGTGGACGTTGCGCTCTCGCATAAAGCGCATTATGTGGCGTTTTTACGTTTGCGTTTGTGCGCCTTCGCGCACGACGCGGAGCCGCTTTCGCATCGCGCCTGATGCCGCCGGCCAGCGAGAGCGCGGCTTCCAGGAGAATCTCAATGGCGAACAATGCGACGGCGGTAATTGCCGAGGTGGTCAAAATAAAGCAGTCGGGATTTTCGTGGACAGCTGATATACCGGGTATTTCAGACCACCCGGGTCACCCGATTTTTTCGTTAACGCGACACTTTAGAGAAAAATATTTCAGACAAAAGTTGCAGGGCTTCAAAGGATCTATTTACTGACGTTATGAATTTGACCTTGGAATAACCTTGAAAAGTTCAGTCAAGATCAACATAAAAATCTGAAACGGAAACCGCGACTTTTTATTACACTGTCTTTCTCCACCAATTAATTTGAACAACTTTTGTCTAAAATATTTTTCTATTTGCCTAATATTTTTCTAGATATTGAAGGAAAATTTGATAACTTTTTCAATATTTAACTTACGATATCTCGCTAACTAGTTGTCGGAAGAAAAAGTGGCATTTGACTTTTTTGCTCTATTTAGTCTCAAGAATATATTTTTACAATAGCGCCTTGACTTTTGTTAACTTGCTGATTTTTGGAAATTTCAAAATCATCAAATTAACCAAATTCAGGGCGCTATTGGAACAATATATTTTTGAGATTAAATAGAGCAAAAAAGTCTAGTACCACTTTTTCTTCTGACAAATAGTTAGCGAGATATTGTGAGTTAAATATTGAAAAAGTTATCAAGTTTCTCTTAAATATTTCAGAAAATATTAGGTAAATAAAAAAATGTTTCAGACAAAAATTGTTCAAATTAATTGCTAGAAAAAGATATAATAAAAAATTGAGGTATCCATTTAAGATTTTTATGTTGAACTTGACTGGATTTTTCAAGATTATCCCAAGATCAAATTCATAACTTCAGTAAATAGATCTTTTGAAGCCCTACAACTTTTGTCTGAAATATTTTTTTCTAAAATGTCGCGTTAACGAAAAATCGGGTGACCCGGGTAGTCTGAAACATCCGGTATATCGTCCATCGATGCAACTCACTCGTTGCTTTTCGCTCTTAGAAGCAAACGCTTTCGTCGTTATCTTATGCGAACACCGTCAATTTTTCACAGATTCACAATCACGCGCGTTAACAATTGCATTGAACTCATATTAACAATGTGCAATAATACCATTTGAATAACCGACGTTTTACTCTGCTTGACAACGCGGCTAAATGTTCTTACGGTGGTGACACGCACGTCTCATTCCCCGAGACTTGCATTAATATTGTTGTTAGTGATTTAATTTTTCTCCGTCGCGCTTCTCTCTATTGTCTCTCTCGTGCGTCACGGAGCAACGAGTAGTAAAAGTCTAAAGTCGCATCTCGCGCTGCATCGCGATGCAGCATCTATTCATCAGTTTGCATCGCATGCTCGCACGAGTTGCAAGCTTGCACGAATTCAATTTAGCCGAGACTCGAATCGCGCACTTCCGAGTCTTCACGCAGAGCCGTTAGATGGCAGCAAGCGGCTACGTACCTGTCAACGCGCCACGTGTCCCGTTGCCATGGCAACCGAGGATGCCGTAAACAGACCAACTGTTATCTGAACGTACGAGACACGAGATCGCGTTTCTAGCAATTCCGCACGTGACGATGTGACGAGAGGAGCGAGTGAAGTTCAGCGATTTGACAATTGTACATTAAAGAGCCAATAATGTGATTGTAAAATTTGAAATAATGCGATTAAAGGAATAAATCATTTAAGGAAACCTCTGTGTGTGAACATTCAGTCTCGCTTAGTTCTTCGCGCATATACAACATCGCAACATCTCTCTCTCTCTCTCTCTCTCGCGCGCGCCATGTCTTCCCCTCAGTTAGACTTTATAAGCGGACTTGGGCAGCAATCGGACGCATCGGAGCAAGACTTGAGCCTCTGCTACGCGTACCCGGAGGTCGACGACGATCGAGAAACGAGCAGTGTGCTCAGCTGCGACAAAGAAGCGTCGCGAGCGCCGAGCCGCAAAGACACCTCGGCCGATGACGGCCTGTACGTTCCGGAAAACCCGTTCACTGATAAGATAATCAAGCCTTATCGGCTCAACAACGTCCGCATGTTGGACTACGAGTCGCGGGAGGAGTTCCGTGGGAGGCTCGTGGAGATCGCGATTCGCGACGTTCGCATTCACGAAGCCAACACCCCGCTGCAGATCGCCTCGGTATCTATACTGTTCAAGCGGAAGCCGATATGCAGGACGAAGCAGCCGTTCAACCGGAAACTGTACAAGCTACTGATCCGGAACATGGAGAACCACAATCTGTCGATACAGGTGCACGCGCAGCGCGGGGAGTCCAGCGTGCTACCGTTGCCGTTGCCGCGACGCTGCGTGAAGGACCACAAGGTGGACATAGACTTCGCGATCGGCGACAGCTCGGGTAGGATATACGCCGGCACCGTCACCTCCACGGTCTCCGTGTCGAAGCAAGGCGATGACGAGCGGGAGGAGGAGAGCGACGTTTATTTCTACACGCTCAGCAACGACCCGAACGACCCGCAGAACTGCCTCTCCCTGCGGAGACCGTCAAGACGGCAAGCTGCCAAGAAGGAAGACGTCAAGTACTTCTCGCTGCAGGATCCAGCGCTGATCTTCGACACGGAGCTTCACACGGTTCGCAAGAGCCGCTCGCAGGAGTACAAGCCGCCGGACATCGTGGTGACCGAGCAGCCGGCCTTCTCCGTGCTGGACGTGTCCCTGAAGAACTTCTTCCAGGCCAGCCGACCGCTCAGACCGTCGTCGAGCGCTCGTAGGCATCGCACTATAGGGAAGACGATCCTCAGCGTCAGCGTCCTCCGGGGAGTAGAGGTGCCGGTGAGGGAGGAGTCGGCCTCGGTATCCCCGTTGCTCGAGGTCGAGTGGGGCGACGTCGTGCACGCGACCTCGGTGGCCGAGGGGCCTGCACCCGTCTGGCAGCAGACCATGCACTTCGAACTGCCGCGGCAGAACGGCGAACGCTGCGTGAAGTTCCGTTTGTACGACCAGCACCCGGTCTGGGGCCAACAGTGGCTGGGCGAGGCGAGGGTCCCGCTGGAACGCCAGCGGAATCATCAGGAGCTCGAGCGTTGGCTCGATTTGTCGCCCTTGTTCAGTCCGGTGCTGCTGTTCGGCTACGTGCAAGCCAGCCCGGGCCAGTCGCACACCAGGATCTATGTACTCATGAAGATGGAGCAGCGAGGTAACTCCAAGTCCATGGAGGCCGACGCCATCGACACCCTCTCCAAAGGCATTCAACGTTGCCTGGCGACTCCCTACAAAGTGGCCGGCGTGGAGACTCCTGGCGATGCTGCGCGATTCTCGATGCTGTTGCCGGCGTTGCCTGTACACTACGGCCCGGTCACGCCGCGCCAGGTTCTGAACGTCAACAAGGTGGATCACTATGGCCGAGCGGCTCTCTTGGCGACGCTGCTGCAAGGCTTCGGTTTGCATTCTTACGTGTTGCTGGGTGTGTGAATTTTGCTCTTCGCTTCATTCTTGTTTCGTTTATTTAACTCTTTAATCTTTCGCTCGACTTTCATCTTCGCAAAGAGTCATCCGAGTTGGTTGACGGCGAGTATGGTGGTCGTAAGCAAATTACTGCGAGAGAAATTACGAGATGTCGATCGAAATTTACGTAAATCGTAGCGTGCTTTGTTCGTTTTTTGTTCATTCAATTTACCGCGAAGCGAGTTTCAGATCTTCATCGGCTCGCTTTTAACTCCTCCTGAGCTCTCGTAAAGCTCGGACGTCACTTTTAAGGAAAGCTTTACTGAAAGGAAAGCTGGGAAATGTAGGAACTTTCAAATTACCGCAGGTTCGTCGCAGATAAGCAAGTGGACCGCGTTTGTCTTGAACATCGAGGGAGACGACGCTACCTTGTGGGACCCCGAGGTCGGGGACCACTACGAACTCAGCGACAGCCGCTGCTCTTTGACGAAAGTCTCGCGCTTGATCAATCACTCCGGCGTGAGTACGTTTGGTCTCATTGCTTCTCCGCTACCGCGACACTTAGGACGCCCTCCCCTCCCCCTCGTCTTCGTCGTGTCTTTGCATATTTCCGTGTACTTTTCTCAAGATCAACCTCTGCATTCTAGATATGGGAGAACCTGCAAAAGTCCATCCTGCCGCACAATCTCAGGTACAACGTAGCGAATAGCAAAGACTGGCGGCCGCTCGCGCCAGTAGCTACATCGGCCAGCCATCGGTCCGTTCAGACGCTGGAACCGGCCGTCGCGGACGAAGAGGACGTGCAGGCGAAGGAGAGCGCAGCGCAAATGGAGCAACATCTGCGGGATAAACTGTCGAGCTGGCGTAGCGCTCTCGGCCTGACGACCGTGTTCAACCGTCACGCAGTCGCCGTGCTGCGGACCTTCGTTTCCAGCATACCGAGCGACGTGAGCCAGCAGGTGGACAAGAAGGACCTCAAGCAACTATACAGAGCTTACCACACGCACGGCTTCCTGCTGAACCTGCGCCAGGCCAGCCTCGACGAGCTGACCGAGCAGATAGCAGCCACGAAGGTGCGCGACATCAGCGGTCCCGTCGAATTCGCGCTCGTCTGCCACGTGCAGCGCTACGTCGGGAAGACGTGTTCGGTCTGGTTGGCCTTGGCGATCCTCAGGAGCCGCGGTTAATATCGCTCGCGCGCGCTCCATGAAATAAATGTGGCGTCTGCATATGAAGGGGAGTGACGTATGCGAATCACGGCGCAGCACGCGTGATATAAGCACGTCGTTTACGCGCGTGGCCGTATCGTCAAATTGCAAATTAACCTGCGGATGTTATGTATAAGAATGCAGGATTTATGAATATTAATTAGAGAAAAGCCGTCGGTAGAATTAAAGATGTATTTCAGCCGTACACGCGTCCACATTCACACACACATTCACACACACACACACTCTCTCTCTCTTTCTCTTTCATTCTCTCTTTTCATTCTCCCTCCTCTCTCTCTCTCTCTCTCTCTCTCTCTCTCTCTCTCTCTCTCTCTCTCTCTCTCTCTCTCTCTCTCTCTCTCTCTCTCTCTCATATCGAAAGCTGTCTTAATCGTTTTTCGACGTTCAATTATTTTCCGTTAAACCGCACATTATGATGCTATAATTGTGGTGTAATTAGTTGCATTTATTTGTGTACTATTTGCCACACGTACTTAACGCAATTTCTGTAGAATGTGAGCTCGTGATTATTAACTGCCTGTGTAAACTAACGCGGTTGTCGTACTGCTCGGAGAAAGCGCGTATACAAATAAATAACAATCGAATAAAATTAAGATACAACGTTCAACGCACGATTACAAAGGTCCTCGCAAATCAACGCGACAAAAGACTCGGCACTAAAAGGATAATGGAATGCAAAGATCGTTAGTAATTGACGTAATGCATTTCTTTCATACTTTCGTTCTCTTTCATTCGTTCATCCCTCCCCTTTTTCCTCGCGGGCGTTGCTCAGCAACGCCTGTTTGTTGTAACAATCGTATCGCCCGTTTCCAACGTGATAATAATAAACATATTAACAATAAAAACATAATTACTTATAGAAGTTTTAAAGATATATTAGGAGGAAACCCCTTCGGATTCGACCGGATAATCGCGACCGGGACTCGTCGTCGCGAATGGTCATTTTGTGATTTCTACGGGCTGGTTACTGTCTCTTTCGATTTTCGAGTAAAAATGCGACTCACAACGCCGGATAAAACCCTTGCGCTTGTGCGTTGCGGAATGATCAAGACGGACGCCTGTCTTGTTCTCTGCAAGACCCTCGTGTTGCCATTATCGTTTCATTTCGCTCGTTAACTAGCTCTCTCTCTCTCTCTCTCTCTCTCTCTCTCTCTCTCTCTCACTCATCGCGACGAAGACGTTCTACGTGTTTCTGCGCGTCGCCCGTACACACGTGAACTACTTGTTATAGAAAAGTGTCTGTATCAAAACCTCTGTCTAACTGATCGATACTTCATTTGCCTAATTTCCTTTCCCGTTTACGTACATCGTTTGAAAACTAATAGAGATCTGTCGATGATATTCGAATGTGCGTAACCGTTTAACATAAGTATGCACACGCGAACCACACACCACACGCACACGCACATACATACGCTTCGGTGCATCGCGGGATCTCTCGTCACCGTGTGAGCAAACCAATCGAAAAATAATCATACATAGGTTGCTTGCGCTTGTGACTCTTACGCGGAATCGCTCGCTCGTATCATCCGCGCTCGCTAAATTTCTCGAAGTGGAGCTCCACTGAGAACGAGAGTGGAAAGTGGCAGTATACAAGTGGTAATTCCGCCACTTGAGATCGCGAGAGCGCGAGAGTGAACGTGTTCCATTGAAGCTCAGAACGGATTTTGACTTCGTACGAGCGAATGTTTCAATCGATTACAGTGAAGGTGTTCCCACTGCACAATGGAGCACGTCAGATTCACTCTTGGATTCCGGCCGAGGATACTCGCTCGTCGACTCAAAGCGGGGAATTCATTCCGTGTGAATGGAGAATCGCTCGAATTCGAAGGACTCGCTGGTCACTCTACTTTTCGAGTGAAACTTCGCTCCGAGACACTTAGAAAGTACCTGATGATCTCGCGCTCGCGCAAGACTTAACCGAGCCGATCCTGCGAGCGCACGCACAGCAGCAGAGAAGCGTATCTTGTTATTACGAATTGTTTAACGTTGCCAGACGTGTCGCGATTGGATCTCGAGAGCGGGCCGTTTCATGCTTGCGGCGATAAAGCAATTCCGATTGGAAATTTGACTCCGCATCCGTCCGTCCGTCCGTCCGACCAACTTGGGTCGGTAAACAGGATCGCAGGATCGTTTCTCAGGTATTTCGGGCTTCGTTCCGCAGAGTTCACTTTTCTTTTTTTTCAGAGAAGTCTATTTTTCTCTTTCAATTTCTTAGCTTACGAAATCTCGGGTGATATCATTGCTGGAGTAAAATTGGCGGAACGGGGTTTCGTATAAAACGGGATTCAGTGCAAAATTTGCTCGCTAAATTGGTCGGTCGCGGAGATTTCCGCTGCGAAGCCCGAAATTCACAGACCGGACGTCCTGCGAACGCGCTATTCACTACGAAACGTATCCGAACCTAAACTACCTTCCACTGTATATTCGTTAATATGTACAGTCGCTGGGATCAGCGTGGTGACGTACAATCGCTGGAACCGACAAGAGGGTGAGACGCGGATCGATAAGCTTGGGATTAACGCTCGCGATCCTCTTTCTCCGCCTCGGATCGCTCGCGTCATCCCGATATCGAGCGCGATGGTCGCGATTCGCCTCAGCGAGCGCAAATCCGACGTGTACACTCGTTTACGAAACGGTTGGAACACATTTTCTTCTTATGACGAAGCCAGAAGCGCGTCAAGTGGTCACGATTGCGAGCCAGCATTCACGAGTTCGCGTGGCAGTTCGTTGTGACAGGAGCCGAAGTGACAATCAGGGCTGAGAAATAACTCGTCGCTTGCAAACGCCGTTACCGTTACGAATTGCTTTCCTCCGGTAACGACTCGGTAACGACGGTGTTCCCTTTTCTCTCATTGGTAACGATAACGGTAACGCAGTTACATTTTTTGGTGTTAACGGTAACGAGTACCATCGTTACTTTTGTCGTTACTTTACGCACAGAATGAACAGAGAGAAACGAATTCTCAAAAAAGATCCTCAAAACTCGGTGAACAAAAGATAACGAAAATCGCGACGACTCTTTACTTCTTGAATAACGGTACCGGCAACGAGTTACTTTTTATCGACGAATAATGAATAAGCTTTCTTGCTTCTCAGAAGTAACTTTCGGACCAATCCCGATGACGACGGTTGCGCTTGGCGAACACAGCGGTTGTGCAACCGTCGAGTAAGACTCGACGTGATTTGTGATTAGTGTATGCTCTGAGATCTACCAATCATATCTACACTCCAAAAACCGATCACTCGACCGTCGCGTTTGCCGAATGCAGTTTAGTGATATCGTCAATGTGACGATATCACAATCCAACGTCACAGCTGCAACGGAGAATTCGAGAAAAACGTATCTTTATTTTATTCTTATCTATCGAGTAAGAGTATAAAATAAAGGACCACTATTTACATCGTCCACCGTCATTCGACTTTTGTCATAACCGATCACCACAAGTGGCTCGCAATTGTGACCATTTGACTCGCTGCTAGCTGTCGCAAGAAAATGTGTTCAAATTAGAGCTAGTATTCGAATATCTAACTGTCTGAGTACCCGAAATCGGTTTCGATCGGAAGTCTCAAAACCGTGTTATTCGAATAATCCGGATAATCCAAGTTCAAACTGTATAGACAAGAAATTCGAATCTACAGCCAAATTCTGATCCCAATTATATAGAAAAAGTAGATAAATACAAAAACGGATCAATTTGATATAAGAAAATCACCCGAAATAATTATTATTCAAGTACAAAAGTGAACATAATCATTTTGGATGAAATCCAAGTTGAGTTGTAGTTAAAAAATGTCGATTTCTTGATTGTCCAATTTTGTTTCTTCAGAGCGATCCAAATCGTCTCGAATGTTTCTGGTAGAGGCCGATCCTACTACGAACATAAATCCGGACTCGATACTTCAACTGTTCCCCGGATTACCCGAATATAGGATTTTAAACATTTACTCATACACATAGAACGGTACACTGAATATCCTTTTATCGATAAAAGTAGCTCTAAAAGTGGCTGATAGCTAAGCTTGTGGACCACTTTTGGAAGCACTTTTATCCATAAAAATAGTCACAGATTGAGCGCTTCACAAAAAGCCACGAAGATTATATTAGAAATAGAGATTGCCTGTGTCACGAGCACTCGATCTTTGTCTATCTTGATCCCCATCGGAGGAAGTTAAACAGCATAGCAGTGGGCGGTTGAGGAGAAATATAGCTGTCCTTTGCGTCTAAACTTGAAATCTCTCGTTGCATATTTATTCGCCGTCTGGACAATCGGGTGACCGGATAGTGCGAAGTCCGAATGAAGATTGAAGCCTTAGCTTTCAGATCGTTTCGTAGATGAATGTACATCGGGCGACCTAAACGAAGTCTATTCCACGTTCCCGTTGTTGCTATTGCTTCCATCTCTTTTCCTTTCGCCCTTTCGCTTCCTTCTTCTCGTGCTTTTGCCTCGCTTCACGGTGAACTACTCCCTCGATTTTCGTCGCCGTCGATCGCGACGCAAACTTTGACGGCAACATGACATGTGTGTCTGTTACTAATGTCCGTGACTATGTTCCTCTTGTCCTGCGTCGCGCGAGGGTCGTCTGTATCGGACTAACGTCGACATCGAAGAAAGCCGGGAAGAGCCTCATTGAGTCTTCTTCTTGGACACCCCGTTCGTGTAACCGTTCGTGTGCCCGTTTGTGACAATTCCATTGCTGAGCGCGCTGCTCGTACTCGCTGACGCAGCTGCCGCGGCGGCAGCCTTTAACCTCTCCAGCCGCTTCTCCGCGTACACTTGTTTACCCTGAAAAAACAAGAACGATCGGATATATTTGGTTCCACTACGGTTAGGACTCTTCTTTTTCGTTTCCGATGCAATTCGAGTGCAACAATCGATAAGGAAACTTAACTTCTAGAAATTAATAAAGAACAAGTCCAACAGGAGACGACGCGCTCTCTTGATTTGCCGTTACAACCACGTCGAATCATAAGACGCATTGTCAAACTTAATTGTCCGCCTATAAAGGTTCTTCAACTTTTATGACGCAATGATGCCCGTCGCGATGATGGCTGCAAACTCGTGATGGAATTTGAAATTTTCGCTCAGGTACGTCTAAGCATTCGTACATCTTGACTGTCGATTAATAAGAGCTGATTAATAATCAATAGTCATGACGTGCGGATTTTTTGATATAATGCGTCTGATCGGAGAAACACCTGTGAGGACTGGGACTGCATTTATAGGAAGCTTTTATGAAGCCACCGGCGTTTCTGATTGCAACAGCTAGACGTCGTGACAATTGGAGTTGACCAACTGTTGCGATGAGTTAGCCATCATCGTCGCTACGAGCGTGTTGCGACCAATTGCGGCCGACATCGCGGCGGACGTAACCGGACTGACCTTTGCAATGTAAGCTTTGGCGTAGAAGTTTCCAAACAGGACGATGAAGGAGAGCATGTAGATTACAAGAGCGTATTGCATCCAGAGAGGGAAATCACATCCCGATCGAATGCCGTTGATGCCCAAAATTAAGGCAGTGGTGAACTGGATGAGCTGGAGAATCGTCAAGTACTTCTTCCACCAGAGGTACTTGGTCACCGAAGGGCCTAACGCGGCGAGTCCGTAGTACGAGTACATCAGCACGTGGATGGAGCTGTTTACCATCGCAGGCAGGAAAGCTGCGAGTACACGGACACGCGTAAAAAGAAAAGGAAGTGGCTAATTTTCTTCGTGCGCGCAAGAACGAGAGGCGTTACGACTTTTATACGTTCGTTTAAATGTTGAAATAAACGTTCCGTTAATTTAACGTCTGAAATCTCCGCAGTGACGAGTCCATTGTGAAGGACAACATTTCAAAATACTCTTTTAGCAGAGTAGAAGAATTAATTCATCGTTGCGAAAGGTATATTGAAAAAATAGTTATTGCATCGAAAAATAAAAATGCTTCTTTTATTTTTTTATCATCTTTTTTATACCTTTGGGCCGGGAAATTTTGAATCTTACTTATATTTTTTATCTTTCAATAAGGTGATTGATTTTGGGAGAAAGACTTGCACACTTACTGGATCCACTCGGTACCCATTTGATACCGATCCACCATAAGGAAAACATGGTGGAATGGTGGTAGACATGGAGGAAGCTCAACTGATTGTCCTTCTTCCGTAGAATGAAGAAGAATGTGTCGCAAAATTCCAGAAGTTTGCTGAAGTAGTACCACCAAACCGCGTGAGCAATCTAAAAGCATAGAAAGCGAAATCAGAGATTCTTTAAAAAATCTCTTGTAACTATAAATCAGACGTGCTTGGAGCAGATAAGATCACTAAAAATTATTCCTTTTCGAAATTTTCCCATTACCGAAGAAGAGAGGGAGAAAGACACAAGTTTACTCACCTGAAGTTCGTCGGGACGTGTAATGTGCCTTATTGGCTGGCATACGTAACTATATCGTAATCTCGTAGAAGCTAGAAACAACTGCAAAGAACACCAAGTATATACACATCGATAAAGCGATGAAGGAAACGCACTTTCCAGTGAAAGTGGATAAATAAAAGTAAGTAAAAACGTTCCGCGGGATATTTTCTCGTGCGACAGGAAGTAGTACCTACCTGAATGGCAATGTAAGCATTAAGACAGGCCATGGCAAGGTTATAGGGCACCAGTGCCCATGTTAATTTGAAAGCTTTCCGCTTCTTCATCGCCTTAGGACCCGCCCAAACAATTAGGAGGTACAGTATCGTGTACATTAACGTTGGTTTGGGCGAGTCAACCAATAACCATCCCCTCGTCCTCTCATCTGGAAGTCAAACAGATCGAAAAAATAGTTTTGTGAGAAATACATAAGTATTATTTCTTCGTGTGGTGGAGTGCCATTTTCATCGACCTATGTGGTAAAATATTATTTGACGTGACGAAAGAGTTTAGAAACGAAAATCTTCTCATACTTTCTCTAGGCACTGACAGTTCTTTTTCTTTTTTGGTAAGATACTCGACCAACTAATAAATTTCGTGCTGCAATTTCCAGAAATGGAACAATCTGATATTCAATAATTATTCGATGTATTCGTAATTAAATTATATATTTGGAAAAATTTTAATCGTTCTTTACGATTTTAATTTTCTAGAAATTGTGATGTTATCTGTAAACGGTTAAACACATCTATGCGACGTAACGCGTGTTGTACAATATAGTGCATATATATTTAAATTATAAAATTACCTGCGAGAGACAGCGTCCAGAGGTAGTAGTCGTATGCATCGTTGATGAGACTCGCCGTCGAATTGATAAAGTTCGCCATCGCCTGCGTAAGTCATCCTTGATTTTAGCAACTTTTACAATTTTAGGTTTATGGCTATAGATAACTTTTACAGATATTTCAATCATTTATTTCAATTGTATACATTCTTATCATGGGAAATGACGAAGTCATCGTCATTGCCGTTCCGACGATTGTGTGTTTCGTATGTGACGAGTAATTTAGCTCAATAAAATAAGATTAATAGATTCTCGTACGTTATTCCTTATCTTTGAAGACTACTTTGACAACATGGAGATCTAGGCACGTGCTATGGCAAAGTATAGTGCAAGGTGTTTTTCTGCCTTTTTTCGAAAATTGCCATTTCATAGAGATAAGTGATAAATTATCGTGAGAGAAAAAACTTTCATTAAGTAAGAAAGAAATTGCGAATCTAAAATAATGCGTGTTAAAAAATACGTGCATACTCAATGTTCTTGAATATGAATTACCGGAAATGAGGAAAAAAAGAAAAAAAGATAAATCGAGCAGTTTTCTTCTATTTCAATGACAAATTTTCAAACGAATATTAAGTAGATTTTTTTCGCGAAATAAAAATATCAAAAAGAGCCGTATTTATCATAATTGTCTCCAGGTCAAAATTCTGCTGTAAAGAAGCAATCTAATTAATTAGCTCAAGTCTACATGCCCAACCGGAAAACTTAATGCCTCGGAAAGAGAAATCGACTTTAACGTCGATGTTTATTATTTACGAACTTGCTTTTTTTTAATCATGCAAAACTCGCACGGAAAACAATCCGATTATTTTCCGTACAAATACGCAACATTTACAGAAATGAACAGTAGATGGACTCATTCGTAGCACACAGCGTCAATCGAAGTTCGATTGAACGAAATACGCCGTACGTGCGTTCATCAGCTCGTAATTAATTCTTGATGGTAATTCCGTCGAGATGCACATTATACGGTCGTTCACTCGCCGTCTATATCGCGGAACATAACTTTCACGCTCCTAAGAAACTATTACCGCTATCTCCCGAAGTCGCGCACTATAAACATGTCTCGACAAGCACGTTTTTTCTTCTCTTCAACTGCTCGTTGTGCGGAGTGCGATCATCCATCAACTAACGTATCCTATAAGGAAAGTCACTTTCCTTGCGCGTAACGACTCCGCGTTGAATTTACAGTACGCGAGCGCGCGTATTGCAACGTACAGCATATTTGAACTCTCGCGTGTCAGCAAATGCATATCGTGTGCGATGCCATCGTCGACACAATGTTATCGCATTGTAACGCGTAGCTAAATAATCGTTGGAATAACTCACGCCTCGGGAACTCTCAAAAATCAAATCACCAATTGTTTTCGCGTAGTGTCAGCTATGGAACGTTCCGTTGCAAAAGTTCAACTACGAAAACAGTGGAAACAATCAGATCTATTGTGACGCTGGAACACGTTTGTAATTACAAATAAAATATTTGGTGATGTGAGATCGAACGACTTTCTTCGTTTTCTCACGGGACGAAGCATTACCAATAGTTCATGGATGCAAATATTTCCTACCTTTACATTGCAGACGAATTTGATCGTAGAATGCGAGTTATTCCACAGTGTTTGTTACAACGAGTGAGTTGTTTATATTTTACAGTGAACAGTTGTTCCACGAAATAAATTTTAATGTAATTCGTAAAATTTAGAGAATCTGTACGTGACAATAGAATCGGTGTGTTAATTGACGTAAGCGTGCTAACCGTATGCAATTGTTGATGACATATACAAAAAAAAAGATAATCTTCTCAATATTAAATATTAAAGAGATTTGTGATATTATATATTAAAGTATATGTTGCCAAAGCATATTAGTGTGCATATTAGTGCACCAGCGCTCCATCATACACTCATAATAATAAGCATTTTCAATGACACGAGCGCGCGATCAAAGTGAAAGCTGAATCTATTAACAACTTTTTGTTCACGGAATTGTGTAGGATTTCTGAAGCTTTCAACAATCACCGCTGTCGCTTATGAACCACTAATAAATACGAAAGGATATCGTACACGGTATGTTAAAATATCAACGATAAAGTATCGTTGAAAATATACGAACTTCGCTATTGAAAGAGAAATATGTCGGTCGATTTCTTCTTAGAGTTAACGAGCTTATTAGAGAGTCACTCATCTCAAAAAGTGATCGAGAGAAGCATTTCAGAGACTATAATAAATGAATGCTTTATTAAATATATATATATATATATTAATAATAATAATAATATTAATAATAATAATAAATCGACATTCCTGGCTTTTTGTCTTAATTTAGCTTTTTACAAACAATATTAACAAACAATATTAACATTTCTCTTTTTGTGCTACAAGCGGAATTTATAAATTCAAGCTTTCCTGCCTACTAACGGCGCTGTGTGAATGAAAGTGCTTATTAACTGCATTTCCGACTTTCTATTATCCGACGCAATTAACAACACACCTCGGTTCCTCGGGAATTGCTCAACAAGAAAATGCTTAATACGTATATTTTGACTTAGAATCTTATTCCATTACAACATCACTAACGAATACGTTTATTAATGCTCTCTCTCTCTCCGACAAATTTCGCTGACGATTGCGCATTTTCGAACAACGACGTATGCGTTAGTCCGTATTGCGCGATAATAACAACAGCCAATTAACCGTTATCCATGTCGAAAGTACAAACCTACATTTCTCACTGTCGAGATGCGCGATCGACGAATTTTCGCGGTCGCAACGCATCATCGGAAGAAGAAATTCCGAAGAACGTACCCGCAGGATTGATATCGTTCGATTAATCGCGATTGCTCTCCAACGGGACGCGATACTGCGTGACACATGCTGCGTCCCTCGTCCTACTTATCGATTTTGGAAATCCCGTCTCCGTCTTGACCAACGCGAAGACGCGTAAGTACAAGTCGATATCTCGCGCGTTTCAAGAAGGAAGCAATGTGCTCTCTCGCAGAGTCGGTCGTTTCGGTCACTAGGTGATCCCAGCTTACGACGGGGGTTCCTTCTCGACGGCAGGAGGAAGCTCCCTTACCTTGTACGGATCTTACGAGCACCTTGACTCACTCTCAGCGGGTGGCTGCCGTCGCTGGAATCCCTCGATCTTGCGTGCGACTGGCGCGTGACGCGGGCCGACGAACGCGTGCTCTTTTCTTTTTCTTTTTCCTTTTCTTTTCTTTTCTTTTGCTTTTTTTTTCTCGGCGATGGCGACCGCGACTGACTTCGCGAGCGGAGTGAGCGCCGTGAGCTTGAACTTGCGAAACTGGCACCCGCGACTTCTCTCGCGGTCAAAGTGACATGGTCCGACAACCGTTCGACTCGGACGCTCGGACGAAAAAGAAAGAAACGATGACACCGCGGTAGGCGCCTCGCGAAAAGTGTCGCTGCTCTTTCTTCCACGAAAAAACGGGACGAAACCGTGGCACGTTCGTGGTCGCTCGACAAAGTGGCAGCGTCGTTCGTCGGCTTAGTCGGTCCGCTTTATAACTTTGGTGCCGGGAGTCTTCCGCCGTCCGCAATGGGTCCCAGTGGTGGACGACGATCGTCGTCGTCGGAGGTGGTGGTACCTCTCGCGTCGCGGGGACGTTGAGCGTAAACGAGGCCAAAAGGATCGCGAAAGTGGTGGGAACCGATCGTGGGGATAGATCGGCCGAGATCGGTCAAGGCGAGACGCACCTGGTAGATAGGATCGTGACGATCCCCCCCGGGATCGCGATGTATCCCACCCTCGGACGTCCGACGTCTTTCTTCTTCCACCACCACCTTCACCCTCACCCCCGCCCGCGCTCCGCCGAGCGGCACCGTCGTGGTCGTAGAGATCGAATCCGCGTGCGGAAACAACGGGTCGCGGAAGCCACCCGCGGTGGCTTCTCGCGGTGATTTCTACTTCCGCTCCGTGGCTCGAGATGAGCTTCTCGAATCGATTAGCCGAATTTGACGATGCGCGTTCGGTCGTCGCGCGTATTCACCGACATCGTCGGCCCGCGCCGAAAAGTGGACTTCCTGGTGGAGGGGAAAGGTGATCGGGGCGTGTAACGGTGGGGTCAACAGGGAGTACCGGTTTTTGAGCACGTGTTCGATTTTCCCCGACAAATAACTCGCCACCACCTCCTGGAGGACCAGTCCTTTGCGTTGTCCTAGTTTCGCGCGTGCAATGCGTAATTATAAATACACATATTTTTTTCTCCTTTCCTTCCTCTCTCTCTCTCTCTCTCTCTCTCTCTCTCTCTCTCTCTCTCTCTCTCTCATACTCTTGATTCTTTCATTTGTATTTGTTCGAAGTCGCATATATGCTGGCTACAACACGACGTCGTCGGCGTAGCCTCATTTTCCAGGCGAGAGTCTTGCGGCATCTCGGCACTTGCTGAGCGCATCGGGCCTCGTTCCAGGATTCTCGCGTCGGAAAAGTGGGCCCGCGAGAGTATCCGCACGGATACAAGGACGAGACGAAACGTACGAGACGCGAGGACTCTGCGTCGTGTCATCCTAGAACAGCAGCCCTACGCTCTCCGCGAATGCTCATCTTGTTACGTTGACGTTAACGAGTGCGGGTAGGGCTTTAAAACTGGATCGAGTTTTATCGAATGCCACGGGACGAATTTAACCGGACGACGAGATCATTTATTTACCGTGCATTCGACGTGCTCGAGTGACCCGAATATGAGGAATAAATTAGCTCACGAAGATCTTCCTATCGAACGATCGCGCGTGCAAGAGAGAGAGAGAGAGAGAGAGAGAGAGGAAGCAATTTTTCTCCAGTTCGACTTGGAAGAAGCGCGAGAGATACGCGAGGAAAAATTGCGATCGAGGAGAAAGCGACGGCAGGCGCAAAGCCGATATCTCAATGGGTAATCCGATAAATCAAAACGGGTCAATGGACCAGTCGCCGACTGTGTAGCACGGTTCCAAAATCCAAATACGTTGGTCCATGCGAGCCGCTTCTTCAGGGCCTCGATCGGTTCCCCTTTGTTGCTCGCTAAATCATCACTTAGCGAACGCTGCGATTTCGTAC